GGTGATAACAAAAAAACGCCAATAATTTATGATTATTTTTTTTAAATGGAACTATGGAACTTAATAGTCTCTTTAAATGGTCTTTTTTTATAATCTTTTTATAATTGACTCCTCTCAAAACTTATTGTCCTACTCCCAGAATCCGGTCTCTTTCCTTTCATATCATAACCTCATCAAGACTTCCTATAACTCCCGACTCTTAAGTTCACTCCCAGACAAATTACATGGCTGGATCTTAGCTCCTTGACCTCTGAAAAACTAAATCATTTCCTGGAATCACAAGTCCAATCATTAGATCCCATCTCTTCCTATTCTTCCAATGATGAAATGGTGAAATGTCTTTCCTCTAATCTTCATCTATTCCTAAATCAACACTCTCCCTTTAAGGCCTCAACCTTCAGACTCCCTCCTGCTCCCTAGATTAATCCAGAAATAAGACAGTAAACGAGAAGAAGAGACGCTGCAAGGAGGCGTTTTATACGCACACGTTATTGGGATGATTACTTCTCTTTCAAGACTCTTCGAAACCTTACCCAACCTTCTTTGCAACGTGCTAAGTCACAATTCTTTAATACTTTCTTACCACAAGCTTCATATCCTAAGTCCAAATGGAAAATATTTAAAAATCTCTCCATCGTAAAGTCAAAAACCTGTACATCCTACCCTGTTTCTTCCGATCAACTGAATTCCCAATGTGCCAACCCTGACTCATTACCACTTTCCTCCTAATACTGAATTTCCTTTGATCCTGAAAATTTCTATTTTGCAATTATTTAACCAGAAGGCCTACTTTCCTCTGTCCTAAAATCCAGAACAAATGACTATGGCCCGGGTCTAATTCCTGTAAAGTTAATCAAACTATGTCTTCCTTTCATTCCTTCTATCCTATTGCATATCTACAATTTCAGCCCGTCAGCTTGGAAAAATTATTGTTCGCCCACTGAACAAAGTTCCACTTCCCTCCAAAGTTTCCGATTTCAAATCCATCTCTATTCTATCCAACCTTTCAAAACCTCTTGAAAGAATTGTCCATACACAGCTTAATACCTTCCTAGAACAAAAAGCTCTCCTCAATCCCATCCAATCTAGTTTCCGATCCTAGTTCTTCACCCAGTCTGCTTTGTTGAAAACTACCCAAGACCTTCATTTCTCCATAGACAACCAGAATATTACTATCCTGGTCCTCTTTAATTTCTCAAAAGTATTCGATTCAGTCAATCATGAAATCCTCCTTTCCAAACTCCAAAACCTTTTCATATTAAATAGTGCTCTAAAGTGGTTCCATTCCTTCTTGTATCAAAGACCCCAAACAGTCATGCCTAATAAAACTCCTTCCTGCTCCCTCTTATTACCCCGTGGTGTTCCTCAAGGATCTTCGCTCTCTCCAACTCTTTTCTCCCGAGCGAAAATAAAGGATGGTTATATACAGTTAAAATAATGATGTAAAAGTTTAATTCTTATCAAGGTAGACAAAATTAAAATTTTAAAACAATGAAAACGAAGATTTAATATTTAATGCATTTTTTTTTTATTGTTTCGATTTGGAGTATTCTTCTAAAAAAATAACTACAGGACCTTATTTTATTTATGTCCAATACAATTCTTAAAACTAGATGAATAATTATAGGAGATATTGGTACAAAAATAATTTTAAATATATTTTAACTACCTTCAGACGGACTATGGTGGTTTAAATTAATACGAATTTATCTTTAACAACGACATCTTAAAAGATCTAAGCAATCGGTTTTCCGGAGGATATCGGAGGTTTTTTTAAATCGCAGTATTTGTAAAAATTTTATTTAAAACACCTATTTTTGTTTACAAAAAAAAAAAAAAAGATTCGAAGTAAAACAAGTTTTAGAAATGATTATATTTTTTTAACTAAGCAGAATGACATTGAAAAGTGTATAAAGTTTCAAAAAAAAATTATCAACAATCAGCTCGAACTAAGCAATTTTACAAAACCTACAAATCATACGAAATTTTACAAATTAACTAGGTTTTCAATGGAACTATTAACTAAAAACAGTATAAAATGTTCATTCTGCCAACTAAAAATATTCTCGCAAACTGCCTAAGGTATCAATTAAACAGTTTATATAGTTTTTAGAGTTATAAAAAAAACTTTTTTAGTGGATGTCGAAGGTTACTCAGCCCACTCACTGTGTGCCGGTTCGAATTCCTTTAGTACGTGTTAAAATTAATTCGTGACGGACCCACGAGATGAATCTCGACCTTCCCACTCTGGTTAGGATAGGTTTAGTTGTACCTTCAGAACAACTCGAGATAACGATAAAAAAATATGTAAGTGAAAGCAAAAATACTTTAAGAAAGGTCTTAATGACAATAACCACAAAAAATATGTTTATTATAAGGGGTGAATGAGAGATGGTTAAGAGTGGAAACAGCTTTCTCAAAGTTAAATAAATAATTTTAAATATAAAAGTAAAAAAAAACAGTGAGCATCAGTTTAGGAAAGACGACCAGAGAAGAGGCCGCCGGTTTTTGTCAGCCTAAAGTGCTCCTTCCCCTTCCCCACCTAAATTGCATTAGTCCTTAATGATACACCACTCTTAGGGCAAAAACTTCTTAATTCACCTGACCTTTCTTCCACTGGAAAACAATATAAGGTAAAAACCAGTTTTAAGACCAACTGGTGAGAAAATGGCATTCAACTTAGCAGAATCAAAGAGGTGAAACATTTTAATAATTTTATTAATATCTCGAAGAATATTTCGTCGTTTTATTGCAAAACTAAATGTGACAAATTTCATAACCTTCAATAATAAGGAACATTGAAAAATTTTCCCACAATGAAATCAGAAAATCGTGCGCTTATTGTAGCTATATTTGATTTGTACTCGTGTTAGGGTTTGTTTCACTTTCATGCTCTTGCTGGTTGGGCTATTCAGAAGGTATACGTGTAATATACCGTTGGAAAGCGAAGAATGAAAGCAATATCTGATATAGAAAGTCGTGTAAAGTAATGGGGAGTGAAGACAAATTATAAATAATAATTTGTGAAAACTAATATTATTTTACGGAAATCATATGTTTTCAAGGAAATTAAATGAAATTTGCAATCTAAATGTAAACTTAAAAAAAAAAAAATTAAGTTTGAAAACAAGCATTTGAAATCCACGGAATCAAGTCAACGGCATTGATATTTTCATGGAAATATATGTATATATGGAATAATATATATATGGAATATTTCATGGAAATATATATTACCTTAAATATATTTACTTTAGTTTAAATAATTAGGCGTTTATCGTCCGTTTATTCCGAAAAATCATCATGTAACCTTTTAGAAAATTAAATTAGTGAATAATTTGATAAATTTTCCCTTTGTGATATCCCTACAGTATCCACTTGCAATTAGTGTGACATCTTTTGACTTGTCTATGACAGACAACGCAAATCTCATAATTCCATTTTAGTAAACTTTACAATGGAAAATAGCAGTCTAATAACTGATAGGCGTACAGTCCATAATCATTTATAGTTTGAATATACATATAAACTTTCAAATCTCTCTAGGCATGCATATATATATGTACCTAGCGTTGATATAATTAATAGGGTTTTGTTATTTTAATGGTCTTACTGATTTGTCAGCTGTAAGCATTAAGCCGTAGCTTCGTTAAAAATGAACTACAAAAATTTTATAATAGCCCAAAATTGTCAGAAAATAATTTCTATTCAAAGTAGAGCGTTACGTGAAAATTTTGTGTTGAGCACACTAGATTTTTTTTTCTAAAGCTCAGTTCGCAACTGAAATGTCATTGATAGAATAATATTTTTTTTATCACGAGCCATGGTCCGGGGGACATGTGTGGAGGTCTCGATGTGGCCCTCGGGCTAAAAAGTTTGGAGACCGCTGATGTAAGTCAATCTCTGACAGAAGTTTTTGTAGCATTGCATTACAGTATTTGAAACCATTTGGATGTCCAAGTACTTATATAACGATTAATTTGTTCGAGGTGCATCAGCTGTTTTTCGCAAAACTTTTGAATAAAAAGTTTGGATGTTTCACAATATCAGAAGTTTTCACTGTGACCCATAGTTCAATCACTTAATTCTATTAAGAGTTTTAAAGTAATCTGTATATTGTTAGTTTGTTAATAAAGTATAAATTGGAACGTCTGCCAAGTAGCTTGGAGAATATTCCATATAATTTTTTCAGTTGATATCTTTTCAGAATGGTATGAGTTCTCTTTTCAAGTAAATTCCCGAATATTATAGACCAATTTTACTTTTAAACAGTTTTTCAATTAATGCACCATAACATTTTTCAACTATAACAAATTAACTGAACTTACCTATTTACTTCCCTTGTTGAAAGTGTGTCCTGCCTGACTATTGGGTATCATTATTCCTCAGAGGACAGGCTGGTTTTAGGCCATACCCTTAGGAAAGGACATTAATCCCTTAAGCCTCTGTTGTGGTGTTCCAGAAATTTCTTAGTATGCCATACTGCTTCTGTAACAATAAGAGTCGAACTAGAGGGCGGGGTGACTAAGCGATCTAACGCGTGTGCACAGCACCCCATAGACCGGCAATCTAATGAAAGATAATTTTTTAAAAAATTACAAATTCGTGTTCCATTGTCCGGAGAAGGGCTTTAACTCCGGAATATCCTCCCCCCTCTCTGGCCCGGGAAAACGCTGTATAGCCTAAAAGGCAAGAACGATAATTAAATAAACAAAAACTCATAAAAATATATTAATAAGAAAACGACGACTGGAATTTATTATATCGACATGAAAGATTCCAATAAATTAATTTTTACAGACAACAAAGAACAAATGAGAGTCTAAATCAATATTTCTAATTTAATAAAACTGGTATGTTAACCCTTGTCGTAGTTCAAACTGTTTCAATGTCTTTGGCCGTGGTAGGTTACACTCTACATGGTGGGTTATATTTTTAGTTAAGATTCAAACTTTGGTTGTGTGTGTTGTGCTCGAAGTTAGTGATGTTCATATTTCGCCATGAACCAGTTAATGAATAATGAACTAAGAATTAATATTGATATTATTAGAAAACATTACCTGGAAAATATTCCTCATGATTCTAGTATGACTTTACCCTCAATAAGGGTTATAATCATTCATTTATTTTTATCATAGATGTATTCTTTAACCCTGCATTTTATTTCAGGATTCTTTTCGTTAATAGTATCTCCTTTTAAAGTTATCAAGTTTAAAAACGTTCTTGGTTCGGTAGCTTATCAGAATGAACTGAAGGATGCTCTTGAAAATTTAGATTACAGTAGAAAGGATAATGATTTATATAGTATTTGGCAAACTAATGATTTAAATAATTGCAGCTCGGATATAGTAAAGAAATTCATTGAAATACTTGCCAAGGAAATCACTCCATTTTTAAGCAACATCTTCAATGTTGAATTAAATGATAGAATAAGTATTACTGCATCTTTGTATAAAAATGGAGGTACGTTAATTACTTAAGAATTATTATTGACGAACAAATCATAATTTTCTTTGATATTTATTTTTAACTTTTTTTTATAGATCATTTATTATGTCATGATGACAAATGTGAAGATAGATGTATTGCATTTGTTTATTATTTAACAGAGGCTCATGGTTGTGGAGGATCATTTGATATGTTTGATCATGATGGTAATATGATTTTACTTTTCTTTAGTTATAATAATAATATTTATATTTATTTATTTATTAATAAAATTATTAGTTTGTTTAGTGAAACTATTGAAATTAGGCTGGTGACACCTCTCTATTTCTTTCTAGCAATACATCAAAACAAGTTACCTTGTATCAAATTGAATTGCTATAGTTGTGTTAACTACTATCAATGTATTTTGATATTTTTTCAACATTAAAAGTATTGTTTAAGAAAGATAAATCGAGAAAGCCTGGGATAGAAAAAAAAGCTTACACCTCGCTCTTCTAGGTATTAAAGCTGCGTTTGACTCAGTATTAAGAGAGCAAATATGGAAAGCCCAGAGAGCAAAGAACGTGCTGAATGGTTTGTTACTGAATATAATCAACTAACCAGGCATCAAAAGGTATTGCCAGAATTCATTTCTGGAGTCTTAAGAGCTTCCTGATGGAAAAATGAGTTAAGCAGGGAGACAATCTCAGTCCTCTACTGTTTATCATCTTTATGGATGAAATAACAATTTGTAAGAGAAGAGCAGCTAGAGCTATAATTCATCATTGGAATATGAGAACTATACTGGCACAAGTAATGGTATATGCCGATGACATGTCCTCATCACTGACTCTACAAATGACCTCCAGCAAACCCTAGTAGAGTGGGAAGGAAGGACATGAATATTAATGCCAGAAAAAGCAAAATCCTATAAGTAGGACAAGAGCCTAAAAAATATTGGGTTGGCTAGTAAGTTCTTTTGGTTTAGTGGGTGGGGAAGCCGAATGGGCTAAGACGTGTGCATTGCACCGCCATTTCCCGGCAACCTGATATCTGTCAATGATATAAAAATAGCCACGAGTTCGCGTCCCGATGCCAAGGGAGTCTTTTAAATCCCCGCCCACACTCCCTGGTCCAGGAAAACCCCATATAGCCTTAACGGCGAGGAAGGGGAGGAGAAAAAAAAATCCTGTCGGTTTTCAGGATAAAATAAAACTTAATGTATTTTAGACATAAAATTTATTTTAATCTACAATATATTGACAATGTCATGTTCATAGAATGTCTAGAGTTTATTGTTAAAAAACTGATCCAAGTGGTTTTTGATGTCCTCTTCCTTTTGGAATTTCTTTCCATTCATGGAGTTCTACAAAGACTGGAATAAGTGGTAGTCACTTGGAGCTAGGTCTGGTGAATAGGGAAGGTGAGGCAAAAGGTCCCATCCAAGGCTCAATAATTTGTTTCGAGTGACCAATGAGATGTGGGGTCTAAATAGGTGGAACACAACATCCTTCCGATTTGCCAGTTCTGTACGTTTATTTTTAATTGATGATCCAATTTAGTTAATAGTGAGCAGTATAGATTTGAATCAATTGTTTGTCCTGATGACAATAGCTCATAAAAAATAACACTCTTGAAATCCCAACATATGGAAAACATTATCTTCTTTTGATGCAATCCGGGTTTTGACATTCTTCTCGGAACCTCACTACTAGGTCCCCAAGATTTTCTATGGACTACATTATTGTAAAATAATAATGAAAAATAAACCATTTTTCATCTCCTGTTACAAACTTTTTGAAAAATAAGTTGTTGTTTTGCTGTTTCCGTAGTGAATCACAAACAGAAATATATGTTGCCAAGTTGACTTCGGTTAGAGAATCGGACCCAAACATTGCAAATGAGTTTCTACACTGGTGTGCGACACATTTAGGGCCATAGCATCTCTCGCACTGATTGGGTAGGATTTTGATCAACAATGGCCTTGACATTGCTCGTTTCAATTTCATGTGGGTGACCTGACGGTTGAGCATCATTGTGTCAAAATTTCCTAAATAAAATTTGGCAAACCAATTTTGACAGGTACATTTGGTTAAGACGTCATCCCCATAAACACTGTAAATTTTTCTATGAGCTTCTGCCGCACGCTTACCTTTTTTAGAATAATACAACAAAATATGCCAATAATGAATGATATTTTCTTCCATGTTCACAGTGCAATAGCAAACAATACTAAGCTTGTTTCAACAAGAGTTAACAGATATAGTTGTTGACATATTACAAACAGGATAAACAATCTATCATAGGGATTAATTCAGATAAGAAGTTTATCATAGTGACAGTGACATAACTAAACAGAAAAACTGAAAGGACTTATTGCCAACCCAATATATAAAACTTGCAATAATAAGAAGCTTGAAATCGTGAATGAGTTCTCCTACCTTGGAACTGTGATCAGCGGAAATGGAAAAGTCTAACCAGAAATATTCCACAGGATAAGGAAAGCTAATAGTATTACTATTCCATTAGCCATACGATCGTAAAGAGAGAGGTAAATAAAGATGTGAAGCTTCCACATTTTCAAGGCCGTATATTTGTCTGTTCTGCTGTAAGGACCAGAGAGCTGGGTCCTCCTGGACAACAAATGGAGCTGAATAATTGCAGCCTAGATCAAATACTTACGCAGAGTGGCCTAGAAAACACGCAAGGATAGAATCAGGAATGAAACTAAAATGGAAGAACTAAACATTCCTGCTATGAAGGAGACCCTTGAGAACAGACAGTTGAGATGGTATTGGCATGTGTGCAGGATGAGCTCTGATTGTGACCGATGCAAATTTATGGAAGCTAGACCTAGAGGAAGACCAATGCTTAGCTATAATAGCTATATTTCCTAATTGGGGCAAGTGAGAGGAAAGGCATTGCAGGAGATGACAACTTTTGCGAGAGGCAGAGCTACATGGAGATCCTGGGTTGGATTAACCAAACTCGACGCTGAAAGGCACAATGAAAATGTTAAAGAAGAAGTTTAAGAAAAGTACTGTTTGTTCCTTTATGAATATAAGTGACATCTGTACAACCTCTGCTAAACAGAATACATCTTCCCGATAAGAGTATCTTTATCTCTTGAACAATTGAAGCTCATATCTTGCAATTCATGTAAAGCTTTAGGTTTACCTGATCCATCATAGCTATCAACTTTTGTTCTGGAAATAATGAGACCTGAGAAACTCACAGATCACATACAGCTCCATTACTTTTGTGTTGCCCTTTAAAGATTTTATTTATTGGCTTATCAAAAATAATTCTAAAAATGTGGACAGAATTTACTATTAACGTTAGAATGTGGACCATTATTAGAAATATATTTAGATTGGAAAGAAAATTTTCTTAGTATTATAATTTTTTCTTCATTTAATAGAGTTGGAGAAATAGTTCTGTATGATTTACAAATTTCAATTTGTAATTTGTGTGTAAATTTCATAATGTTGAAAAATTTCTATCAAAATTGCATGAATTTAGAAGCATTCACATGATTAGGTGCTTATGCAAAGTTAATGGTACTTTTTGGATCTGTTTGTAAACAATTATTGTTTAAATGAATCAAATATTGAAACTATATTGTCAACAGATTGTTATATAAAATACAAAGTAGTGGAAACGGAATAATATCTGGTTTTACTCTGTTATTATTACAAATAAATTTATTCATAAGTGCTAGTATGAAAATCATTTATACTGTCTGGCACATTTCTATTTAGCAAGAATTTTCAACTCAACAAGAAAAGGTTTGTCAAATGTAAAAAATCTTTATTATTGTTTATATTATCTATAAAATGAGGCTTTTTGTAAAACATAACAACTTTTCTAATATTTATGTATAAAATTTTTTTTTTTTCTCCAGAATCATACCAACCTACTGAGATAAAACATTCATTACTGCCTGAAGTTGGTTCATTGGTTTGCTTTGAAGTTGGGAACTTAACTTATCATCAGGTATTGATTATAACATATTGTTAAAACATTAACTAATTAAAAAATCTATACTATTTCCAATTATAAATTTTAAGTTCATAACCTATATTTTTATAAAATATTATAAACTATTATTGCTCTACACTTGTATTTTGTGTCTATCAAGTAAAAATTTAAAATTTAGCAGCTATGTAAGTCCATAGTTTAAAATCAATGTTTGTGGATCTTTTTTTTTTTTTTTTATGTTGTAATATAATTTGTTAAATGTATATAATGCAAAATCTTAATTAAAATGTATGCCACACAACTCATATATATACTGTTTTGTTTGGAATATGTTAATTTGTAAATGAAGCTTTCCCACATAGTTGCTATCTTGAAGAAAATTATATGTATATTACTCTGATGCAAAGGGATGTCTGCTGAGAAGGGATATTTAATTGATATGTATTTCTAAGTATATTTAGGGGAAAAAATTTATTTATCAAACAAAATCTGTAAAGTATTTAAATATATATAACCAATTATAAAGAAGACAAATTAGACAATATTAAAAAAACTAATTAATTTCTTTTTTTTTTTATTTTGATCAATACTTTTTCATGATATGGTCGCCTTTTACATTCTGTTTTCTTAATTAAATTTTTTATCGTTTAAAATTTTAAAATTGCCCCCTTGCAGCGACCGGAAAAGCATTTTGACCACGATCTAGCCATTGCTCACAGTTATTCAAATTTGCAAATGTAAAATCTCATATCAAAAGAATCTTTCAATATATTTTCACATCTAACCTCTTAGCTGATTGCTAAGGATCAAGTTCTTGAGGGACCATTCTACTGCTCTTTTTCACCTTCTCCATGGAGAGTAGATGGGGATTAACAGTATCTTTCGACACACCACACTCCCTGGCAAGTTCGCGAGTACTTGTGGACGGATTTGACTCAACAGCTTCCTACAGAACTTCATCAATATCTATTAATGGTCGCCCGGAGCCCTTCTTCCTTTCCAACGTTTTATTTCCACTGCTAAATTTTTCAAAACCTACGCTGCAGGAGTTCGCTGGTCAAGGACATCTTCCCCTTCAAATTTAATAATTTCACAAGTTGCTTCAGCGGCTGTGAAATTTTTTTCCAGTAATGCTTTAAAATGACGAGAATTTCATTGGACATTGTCATGTTTCTTCTTTGAAACAAATAACTAAACTGAGGATTTTTTTGAAGATGTCGAATGGGATTAAAAAAGCTTAGAGAATGCTCTAAAGGAATTATTAACTATCGGTAAGTATTAAATAAGATTGAAATATTGAATTTGATAAAATGGTCTTCTTTTTTTTTTTATACACCCCATTATAACCTCATAAAATAAAAACCCACACACTTGTCATTTGTAATTGCCTTCAAGGAATATTCATGTCAAATATGAAAAAATTGAACAAGGGATAGATTTTAGATGATTTAAAGCCAATAAAAAAACGCTTTTTAGATTAGAATTTTTTCAAAAAATATCACTACACATACCTTCAAGCAACTTTTATGACAAATATGATATGAATATGAATATTTAATATGCTGACCTAAAGTGAATAATATTTTTTTTATAAATACATTTATCTTCTTAATGATGTTTAACCATACTTTTGCATTTTATTTCTGTGAATCTTAAGAATTCATACAAATGTTTATTCTAGAGTTCACTTAGCTACAAATAGCTGGATCAACACTCTGACAAAATAATTCATTAACTACTAACTAAATTGCTTATCTGTATCAAACTTAAAAGTATTTTTAAGCACTTTGGAGCCAATTGGCCATTTGTAACATATTAAATATTTTCTTACATAATTATTAATTTTCTAACATTTTTAGGTCTCTGAAATAACCAGTGAATCATTTAATAGGTTGAGTATAAATGGTTGGTTCCATAGCAGCAGGCAGCCATCTGTTGTGAATTATGTAGAGCCCTTACCTCGATTGCGAAAACAAATTTCATTAGAGGTATTTATGCTCTATTTAATTAAACTTCATATTTATCATTTCTACAACAAAAAAAAATTGTAATGGTGGGTTGATGGTTGACTGTAATGAATAATTAAAGAGAAGGATGGTTGGAGTGATCAGTCAAAATAAAATAGTGAAAATAAATAATTGTATTTACTTTTACATTCGCCGACATTGAATTGATAATCTATCGATATTGACAATACGTCGGTCAGTCTATGCTTGTTGGTATAACAGCCCTGATGATCGTGGAAATTGTTGAATCTGAGTTTTCAACAGAAATACACATTTTGAGGTGCCCTGAGTTTAAATAACCAAGTTCCGCAAAGTGGTCTACGTGTGTGTATGCGTATAAAACGAAAAGTCGTACAAAACTGATATTATGTAGTTAAGATTTTTGTATGCCTTGGATGTCACAGCAACTTTTTCGTTAAAATCAACAAACCAGAAGTGGCACTTGATATAATGGATAGAACACATTTTTACGATTCTCTCGAAAACAGCTCGAACAATTTTAATTAAACTCGGTATTATTAAGCTGTTTTTAATATCAGCTAGATCTTATCCAAATTTATGTCACTTTACAGAGCTTAAATGAACAATGTTCATATGCGTCTTCCTCTAAAGTACATTTAATTTGGTTTATTTAAAAAAATTAACTATCTCTTTTTGACAGTAACTATAAAAAAAGACTAAATATAAAGTATAAAAAAATTTGATTATTGGAAACTGGAGAAAAAGGGGAAGATGTTCATTTAAATCAAAAAAGATCCTCTGGAAATACTAGTCAAAAGATATATGTATACTATATCCTTGAAAAGCAGAGAATTTTAGAAAAAATAATATGTAATATAGGAAGTCGTTGAAGGTAATGAAGAGTGACAAAAAAATTGTAAATTATAATTTGTGAAAACTAATATTATTTAACAAAAATCACATGTTTCCAAGGAAATTAAATGAAATTTACTTTCTAAATGTAAAATTATTTTTTTTTTTTTTTAATTTTGAACAAAATTATTTAAAATCCACTGAATCAAGTCAATGGCATTGTTTAAAAAACTATTTCATTGTGCTTGTGTGAAAGAAGTGAAATATAAAAATATTTCATAGACGTGTAAAACATATGCTTATAACCTTAAATACATTTACTGTAATTTAATAACTCTAGATCCGATATTATATTTAAATAATTAGGTATACATCATAGATTTGTTCCAAAAAAATTTCCCTTTGTGAAATAACAGCAGTATACACTTACAATTAGTCTGACGACTTTTTACCAAGTTATGGTATATTTAAAAGAAAGTAACTGTATTTTGATATGTTTTTCAAGAGCAAAAAATAAGAATTTAAATACATGAGAAAAGTGATAGAGATTAAGTAACTTTAAAATTTCTCTTAGTCTATAGAGCTCAGAGACTGGAGTTATGTGATTCAAATTAACTGATGCAGTGTCATCTAAGGTTTTTATTGGCTACAATCGATATTACAAATAGTGTTTATGTAATTGTGATGGTCTTAATGAGTTATTGTATTAATAAATGACTGAAATTCAAAAATATGTTGTTTAAAGTGTAGCTGCATTAAAAATGAGCTTCAAAAACTTTTTGTAATAATCCAATTTTGCCAGACAAGAATTGCTTTTCGAAGTAGAGCGGTAAGTAAAAGTTGTGTTGTGTGGTGCGTGCTCCAAATGTTTTTATTATTAATTGATTCTTAAAACAAATTACGGTTATTGATATTCATGATTTAGTTATTAATATTATAATTTTTTTTTACTGAAACACAACTGAGGAAAAAGTTGTTCCAGAGTTGTGCTCATAAAATAATTTAAAATAGTGGAAAATATTTAAGCCTACGTGTTATACAGTAAGTCGATCAAAGTGTCACTAACTCTATTATATGTTAAAAATAGTTAAACTATGTTAAACAACTTTATGATATCTCAAAGGAAAAAAAATCATCAAATTCCTCAGTAATTTAATTTCATGAAATGTTACTTAATTAATGTTTGCAATAAACCGATATGTTGTATAAGTAGAAAATTGTCAACTAAATCTTTCATTTAGAATTTGTCAATCTACAAGACATCTTAGTGTTTTAAGTTATTTAATTATTATAATGTTTTTATTATTTAATATTTTTATATTTCTAATTAGTTATAATTTATTTGTTACATTATTAGGGTCTGGTTTTATTGGACAAATATATTAACCTTTTATATTGCACACCAAGTACTCTCATTGAAATGAGGGAACAATTTGAAGAGGAAAGCTTTATTTTGTTAAAGAGGATGTTTGTGGAACAGTTCTTCAATTTGTGTTGCCAAGAGATTAAAAAGAAAACGATTAGCTGGAAAAGAAAAGGTCCAGCTAATAGAAGGTATTTTAACTAATTTTACTCATTTTCTCCCATATAAGTTTTCATTATATACATTGGATGTTTGAGTGACATCATTGTTAGTTTTATTCTTAATAATTTTCGTATCAATAGTGTTTGATTTTACTATTTATTTACTTTATTATAGTTTTAGTTTTATTATGTTTAAATTCTTCGATATATTTTTTTAATATATTATTGAGGTTATGTTAATTTTTTGGGGTTATATTATTGATGGATTGATGCTTAAAAGAATGAGCAACCTACCATCAGAACTGTTTAAAGATAGGGAAGAAGATTTAAGAACCAATTTAATAAGTTAACTAATTCAAAATATATAGGAGAGGAAAGGATACAGGCAGAGGATTGGAATACAGTTCTAATCTACTCTATCCTAAAGGAAGGCTCCATATATGAGTATATAATTTACAGAGGCATAAAACTCCTTCCAGTTGCCTACAAGATAATGACCAATATCCTACTAAACCAAATATATCTGTTTTATGAAAATATAATAGATGACCACCAGAAGAGGAATTGGATGGAGCACATAGATTCAGAAGAGGAAGGGGCATACTAGACCAGAAATCCTAAAAAAATTACTCCAAAAACATATGGTAAAAAAGTATCCAAAAATAATAGGAGTAGCTCAGGATGACCACACCTTATATGTCAATTTCAAAACAGTCTATGACTGTAGACAAAAACTGTCTTTAGAAAATCATGACTGAACAGGGAGTTCTCAGGAAGTTGGTGAGATTGATGAAAGCGTGTACAAACGACCTTAAATATTGAGTCTTAATACAAGCAGTATCGGAACTCATCAAAGTTCGAAATGGTTTATGGCAGGGAGATAGACTCTCACCAATATTGTTCAACTTAGCGCTGGGGTAGGTGATAAGAACAACGTTATGTGAAAATAATGGTGTGCATGTAGGAATGAATCATAAAATCCTTAGATATGCACATAATATATCAGTCCTTGGAAGCAATCAAGAGGACATTAGAAAACTCGCTAAGACTCTGATGAGAGAAGTAGAACAAATCTTCTTCCAAGTAAATGAAGATAAAACGAAATATATGATAATAAGCCAAAAATCCCATCCCAATCACAGGATCTGCTTAAAAGCGATATTGTTCCTGAGAGTAAAAAAACTTAAATACCTTGGCACCCCAATTACCTCAATTGATGACCAATAATTGGAAACAGACCAGTGCAACAATTGCAAACAGGGCTTTCTTCTCTCTTTCAAAGATATTTATATGATAAAACTAGTTCTTATATACTGCTGCTAGACCTAGACCCTAGAAAGATGTATTCAAAGATTTGAGGGAAAAATCCTCCGCGCGATAACCAGAGCGATCTGGGATCAGAATACTAGTGCATGGAGAAGAAAGAACAACAAAGAGTTGTGAAAAGAAACTGTTCAATCAATATCACATGATATGAAGGCAAGGAGTTCAAGATAGGTGGGGCATGTAGCTCGGAGCAATTCATCTGGAAGCCTGTTCACAACAATGAATGCCTCAATAGAAGGTTAAAGACCACGTGGAAGGCCAAAACCCAGATGGATAGATAGAATCAATAAAGAAAGATGCAATAGAGGTGCACGGAGATAACTGGAAAGAAATAGCCGAAGATAACTAGAGATGGAGAAGGCTGATTAAGGCACGAGGTCTGTAATGGCAACTTTTCTTTTTATTTCAAACTTTGATTTGAGTAAATATTATGTATCATATTAAATTCACTATTTAGTTATTTCATTAAATAATTAATTATTTAACATGTTCTTGAAGAAGGTTAACTGATTATGAATTAAATTAGTAATCTAACACATCTAATTAGTAAATGTATTCACATTTAATTTTTGGTTAATCAAAATAAATTATTGAAACATTGGTGAAATTGCTAATGTTGTAAAGTATAAACATTAAAACCAACATAAACTTAGTTGATTTTATTTATAATTTATGTGCTAAAAAACACATTTTATGAATTTTTACTTTCACTTACGTATATATGTAATATATAGTTAGGGTAAGTATTGCGATCGTGAAAATTTTTGAATCTCAGTTTTCAATGAAAATACATGTTTTGAGGTCCTCTGAGCCAAATAACCAAGTGTCGCAAAATGGTCTGTGTGTGTTAATAGTCTAGGTCATAAATGAAAAGTAGTATGAAACTGATATTAAGTATTTGATGTTTGTATATAGGCCGGATGTGACAGCAACTTTTTTGATAAAATCGACTAACCGGAAGTGCCACTTTATATGAACGCTGAAACACATTTTTACAATTTTCTCAAAAACGGCTCTAACGATTTTGAATAAACTCGGTGGATCATTGTATAATTAAGTGGTCTTTAATATCATTTAAGTCTTATCCCCGTTGATGTCACTTTACAGGGCTTAAATACCCAATGTTCATATATGTCTGCCTCCAAAGTACCTTTAATATTGTTTATTTCAAAAAGTTAATCATTTCGCATTATTTATAATTACGAAAAAATGCTACGCATAACTTTTGAAAGAATTTGATAAGTTAATAAAGGAGAAAAAAAAATAAAAATGCTGAAAAACATGTGTTGCTATAGACTGTAGAGCCTAAACGAATATACTAATTTCAATGAAACTACGCTAAAGTCATTTTTTCGACACCTTTTAAATTTATATATATAACATATTTCAACGAAAAGAAGCTGGAAAAAAAGTTACGAGGGATGGTAAAATTAAATTCCAAATAACTCAAAAAATATGAACTTTTTTGTCGATATTGTGATAAGATGTTTCAAAGGTTTTTAAATTTGCTGAAAAACCTGTGTTGCTATAGACTGTAGAGCCTAAACGAATATACCGATTTCAATGAAACTTCGCTAAAGTCATTTTCTCGACACCTTTTAAATTTATATATATAACATATTTCAACGAAAAGAAGCTGGAAAAAAAGTTACGAGGGATGGTAAAATTAAATTCCAAATAACTCAAAAAGTATGAACTTTTTTGTCGATGTTGTGATAAGATGTTTCAAAGGTTTTTAAATTTCCTAAAAAATAAAAGCAGTTTCATCGAAATCGGACAATTAGGGGGAAAGGTATGGTATCCAGTTTTTCCCTGAAGAGGCAAAAATTTGGATAAATTTAAAATATACTTTTTTAATTGTTGAGACTAAAAAAGCCTTTTTCTACAGATATTTAAGTATCTTTCCTAAGAACATCTTTCATAAGAAATAAGTACCTAAATGTATACCTTTATTCTCAGTTCTATATTTCAACACTGCAATCACCACCTCCGGAATCACCTTACTCACTATCTGCATAGATAACTTTTTCAACTAAAATGACATTACTCAAAAATATTGAAATTTGAGTTAGTCATTCTGTTGTTTACAAAAGCAGATGGAGTGACTAGATTTTTATTGCCTACCGTTGATATATTAAATAGACATTTTGTTATTATAATGGTCTTAATGACTTGTTTATATTGTGTTAATGAATATTAACATTTTATAGATTGACTGTTATTGATTATATTTTTCTACTTGTTTTGTTTTGTGCAGAAACTATGAAGTGGCCAATTTAAAATACTTACCTAATTCACTCAGAACTCTCATCAGGTTTTTAATGTCATCACTCTTCACTGCCTATCTGAGAAATTTGACTGGATTATCCTTAAAACCGTGTACAGGTAAATGTTATAAATTTGTTTGTATTTTCATCATCCTATGGTGCCTAAGGTCCTTGTAGAACTATGCCCTCCTCTACTATATTCCTCCAAATTGACTTGTCTTCAGCCACCCTTCTCCATCTGCGTACACCCAGGCTCCTTAGATCATTTTCGACTTCTTCCACTCGTATGTCCTTCCATCATCATTTTAGGGAGCCTACCATGTTCCATTCTTTTCACATGACCCAACCATCTTATCCTAATCCTCTCACATATTAACATGTTTATATGAGGTACATAGGAAATGTGATGCTCTTTCAAATTGATTATAGTGAATTTCTTCGAGAGATGTATAGATTTTGAGTTTTGGGAGAAAACTGATGAAAAGAGATATTTCTTCTGAAATAAGCATACCGTCAATATTCTCTAACTTCTCACCCGTAATAATAATTTTAATAAAATCGTTTTGGAGTCATGTCCAAAAAAAAAAAAAATTGGAAATTTCAATGTTTCTTGCATATATCTCGGAACACAATGGAAAATTTCATTCGGGAACATCAAATTCAGATTCAGCATCCCAAAAAACATAAAATATCAAAGAGAAATCGACTATTTGAATTTTTTCCCCATCCAACTACCTTCTGATTGGCCTAATTTGATGACTTTGACGCGTCAGTTTTTAAAATGCAACAGAGTACATTGTCAGTTAAGGTGAATTCTCTATTAGGAACATATTCTTGACATCATATCACAGCCCTATGTTCTTCAGTTAAATGAACTGTCAAATTTCGCCTCTTTAATTTATATTTTCTTATATAAAGCAACGACTTTCAAGCGACTGACCAGAGTTGTGTAGTCAGATGAGGATTATCAATAATTTAAAATCATTTCTAGTTGTAAGTTCTTCCATTAAATGAAAACTATGGTAGCTCCTAGTCTATTATAGGTTATCAAAAATTACACAGTTAAATTTATGTTTATGTAAAGAGTGATCCAATTCCAATTTCATTTGTTGGAAACTCTGTAAATTAGACAGCTGTTGATACTGGTGCTATTTCAAACATCAACTGTTAGTTTGAAACGATTAGTTACAATATAAATCGCTGTACTAACGCCTAATGCCAACCTTTGAAAATTGTACAATTGTTCTATAGAAAAAACAATTCTGTGAGAACTGTGTATAGACTTTTATATTTATGGTCAATTTAAACATCTTACTGAGCAAACAATTCTCAACATTATGGAAAATTTGAGGAAACTAGAAGCATTAGAGATAGAGTTAGCTGTGTTCATCATCGTGGCGTGCGTTCAGCCTAGAATATTGCTTCTGTGAGTGATAACAGCCAAAGATCTATTGATTCAACATTGTTTGGAGTTTGGGTCTTTCTTATGGCTCTCTTTGGCGCATTTTGCATTGGGATTTGAACCTACACCCATATAAAATACAGTCAACTCATCAACTGAAGCCAAAAGATCATGGACAGCGAAGAATTTATGCTGATTGGGTGGTATATTCAACATATTTATACTATTAACACTAGAGAGCTCTATTTGAACAAAATTTACTAATGTCTCTCTTCTCCCTCTCACTTTCTTTCTCACAGTTAGTGCAGAGGTTCTGATACAGATCACTGTGCTCATTATGCTTAATTTTCAAGTTTTTCTTTCAAAGGTTTCTCTCACAATTCTCTCAGAATTTAATGTTTTAGGTGTCCTGCACTGTTTCTCGTTACGTATCCCACTTAATCATATTAAAATTGATTATCTAAAGATAATAATAAGTAAAAATTTGAGTGGATCATTTAAATAATACAGAAATTATTTAAATAATGAAAATACTGCATTGAACAACATAATTTCTGAATTAGAGATTGAAAATGATGATAAACAATCCCTTGCATCACATAATTTAGTGAATGTGATATTACTCTGGATGAAAGTGAAATTTGGTACTACTTCACTAGCAGGCCGGGTCGAAACCTCACTTCTCATCTATGTTATCTAACGTCATTTCTCAGTTATTCCCTTATTACGTCCACTTATTAAATTCTTTATTTTTGGCCCGTTTGTGTTTATTTTTCATTTTGTTTTTAGTTTATTTTCGTTAAATTATGAATCTTGTTACTTTCTGGGATTTACAGTCTTCAGAAGAACAGGCTATTGAATATTTTCAAAACGTTGGGATACTTGCAGACGTGAAATTGTGTAAATGAGGTCATCAAATGAAGTTAACCAGGAACGGTTTTAACACTTGTCGTGACTGCCTTCTGAATTTTATTAATGTTGTCTGAGATGAAATGATCAGTTGGCTAGATCAGAAATGATCAGTTATTTACTCTTGTTTCAATTTTATAGTAGTCAATTTTTTAAAACTCTTTCCTCATTATTTAGGTGATGTGTTGTAAAGAGAAAAATAAGGCGATCATTACTATAATTTTGTTTTGGTATTAGAAAAATTACTTGGACAAAGGAATTTTTGTAGAACATGTTTTCAGTTGAAAATTGGCAAGATAGCAAATTGAAAATTGTAAAAAAAAAAAAAAAGTATGAGTGTGAAAAATGTTTAAACCCTAGTTTTGAACTTAACATTTATAAATTATAATAATTATTGTTTGTAGAGAAATATCTTTACTTGTTATTTCTTAATCTTGTTCATTTTAGCCCTAGCGTAGATCTGTAAAGTATGCCGAAACAAAGGTATCAATGAAAAGTCATATTGTATTAATTATATGTTATATTATATGAATTATTTGTTCAGCAATATCATTTATATTTTCCTTTATGTTTCGTTAGGTGGTAATTCTGGTAGTGAGTTTTCTCTAGAATTGATCAGATGGACTCCTGGTTGTTATACTATGGCAACTGATAATGATGCATTTTTCAAGAAATCAGGATTAGACTTTTACTTATATTTTGGCACGAAAGCTGCACTTACCAATCCTGAAAATACGAGTGGATATGTTACTTACCTAGCTACAGATGATGATGACTCATTTGATAAAGAGGTAATAACTTTCATTTTCAGTTTATTCAGAAATTTAATGACATTTTTCAACCTCAATGGAACCATTAACATTTTCTACCAGTAAATTGTTTTTACAAGGTGTGACAGTTAATTTTTCTTTATAGAAAAAGTTTAAATTAGGATTAAGGTAAAAAATGGTGTGTGCCATTACTGTTTATATATTTTTCCCATTTCTCTGGCCATTTGTGTATGTCTTCCGAGAAAAACCATATATCTTTTAAGGTGGTCCAATCATCAAGCCATTTTTAGGCAACTCCGTAATTGTTGAAAATGTTTCATGGAGAGTTAGTGAGGCACGAAACAAACAAGGAATGAAAACAAGGGGTTTTCAGAACGGTGAAATCTGGTGAAGACAGTGGGCGAGGCAAGATTTCCTAGCCAAGTTTAAAAATTATGTCTTGGACCGCTTTCACAGTGTGATTGGTCATTGTCGTGCTGCATAATTATTTTTCCATGTCTTGTAGCCCATTCTGTTCTCCTTTCGATCACTGCATGGTTCAAATTGATCATCTGATGTGGTACCCATTTTCCTGCTTTTTGGATCTTTCTCATGGCATGCAGGTGATGACAAATAGTTCAGCGATTAACAATGATTACAATTCGGCATATTGAAATTTTTTCAGTTGACCTGGGCATTCTTTGTCTTTCAAGTCAAAATCAATACTTTTGAATCGTCTAAACAAACCAATGCTCACAACATCTTGCATTAGGGCATTGTCACTGTAAGTTTCCACAAGTATACAATGGCTTTAACTTGCATTTTTCTTTTTATTAGACAAGAAAAGCAGTATATGCCGCAAATGATTTTTTTTTAGCTTGAAATGCAACATATTTACCGCAGGAATAAATTTGAGGCTTACCCGAAATCTTTTAAACATTGATGGGATGGGGACTGATAAGATTCCAAATAAACTAATTAATGAGCACCTACATGGAACACGGGGGAGAGGTTGCCCAAAGCTTCGATGGTTGGATGGTGTTGAAGATGAATCAAGGACTCTGCTCGGAGTACGGAATTGGAGAGCAGCTGCACTGAATCGATTAAACTGGCAGAAGCTGCTTGAGGAGACCAGGAGTCAGTAATGGTATGTTACGCCCATTCAAGAAGAAGAAGGAAAGATAGGAAAAAGTCATATTAAACAATGATCAATATATTGTAGATTAAAATAAATTTTATGTCTATAATACATTGAGTTTTATTTCACCCTGAAAAATCGAAAGGACTTATTTGCCAACCTAATATTTAGCATTAAAGAATTGATGAATATAAAATTGTTCTTATTGTGGTTCGGTAAGTTTTTTTATGTTAATTATTACAATTAATTTCAATTCCAGACATAGTTACTAGTTCTCCTTTAAATTTGATTTGATTGTAAATTACCAAAGAATAACTTAATTCAAATTAAATATTGAAATGTATTATATTAGACGGCAGTCATCTTGCAAATAATGAGATATACGTCAGTACTCCACCCAACTAGAGTACAACTACTGTTTCCTCTTCAAAATTCTTGAATATAACAAGTTATTCTGAACACATTCTAACATAATAATATATCATAACATGTAAATAATTTGATAAATATTTGTCCTACTAAAGAATTTTCTTCTTTTTTTTTTCAGCTGATAACCATTGTTCCTAAAGACAACGCACTGTCATTGGTATACAGAGCTGAAAATACAGTACGATTCACAAAATATATTAACCATTCTGTCGAAAAGGAATATTATGCTGTCTATGCAACATATTATGAAGATGAAAGTCGTGATATTGGATAAGATATTATTTATTTGACATGTTTTAAAATAAATATTTTTATATATAGGAAATGTATTATTTCAGATCCTCATAATGATAGTTTATTTTTTTTTTCTTTATAAAATGTTAGTGTAAATTGAATTATTATTGGTAATTTACTAATAACATTCATACAAGCTGCCATGCTAGCTCAGGTGAAAGGTTGTTTCAAATTAGTGGTTTGTTTACAGAATTAATAATATGTATAAGAAAAAAAAAAATCAAACAAACGGAAAATGAGAAAATTTAAACATAATGACCACATACAACTTGAAGATAAGTGAGAAAATAAAAGTAATAATAATAGCAAAAACAATAGTTATTCTATTAACAATGTACAATTATATTAGGCATGGCACATCTAAACCTTTTAAAAACAATCATCCAGAGAGCACATGCACATGCTGATAAATTTTCTTCTTGGATCATACCAGGTACTTGGGTGAAGAAATTCATTAGTGTCAGGTGTTGCATGGATGATGCCAGATTCAGGGAGATGGTGAGGGTTGATAAATACTAATTTAATTATATATTAAAGACCATCCTGTCTTTTCATCAAGACAACACCCAATTTCTGTTCAATTGTTTGTAGTATTGTACAGACTGTTCCTGAGAAAAGTCCACTTATATTTTTCGGTCAAGCGAGGAGGAATATCAGACTTTAGTGAAAGAAACATTTCAAGAATTGCTCGATTGTGTGGGATATGTTGATGGGACAGAAATATATTTGGCTGGAAGACTAACAACTGACCTATATGCTTACTACTGATGATTGCAGAATTTGGTATTAAAGCCTAGATTGTTCCTCAAATACTGTGAGGGATTTTAATTTCCATTGTATCATTGTGACATATGTTTTACGCATAGGAAGGAGAATATATATTCTATGTTCTTCGGTTCTACACTTCTAAATTCAAAAAGGAGAAAATTTCAAACAAATAAGTATTACAAGTGAACTTTTCAATAATGGAAAAAAAAAAATAATATGCCATTAACTACTCCAACTCCAGAGCAACTTGTATAGCTCAAACTGAGAGGTGGTTGATCATTAAAAAAGAGAAGGTTTTTCCTTTCCCTTTTAATAAGAAATTCTGAATTAACTGGAATATCAGAAACATACTGCAATAGTAAGAGCATTGACAATGAATTGATGTATTATTGAAAGATGTTAGTCGACTGTTCTACATTACATTAGTGGTAGTCAGGATGCTGTCATTTTAAGGCTTATTGTTGCCAACGTTTCAATCCAAGCATATAGGTCATCAGAGCATATTACCAGCACTGTTCGATTAGATGTTGGATGCCCTGATGATGACCCACATAACGTCGGCAACAATAAATATCTTAAAATGACTGCGTCCTGACAATTTACCACCCAGGAATTGGATTGGGTGAAGATCTTGACTGCAAGACAGATCTTGCTTGGGCTATATCAAGATATCTTACAATAAAAAAAAAACCTTGCCATAATTTCATGTTTTTTTCTGGTGCATCTATTGTACATTATTGATGTTCTACTGTATGTATTAGGATAGGCCTGAGCCGGTGACAGAGAAACATCTGGTCACGCTCTTCTGATGTTTCTCATCCGTTCCAGTCTAAAATCGTTAGGAATGTCCTGAGAAGGGATTGCAAGTGTGGTATAAAATTCGAAGAAAATCTCCCAAGTATCTTTGGAACAAATCAAAGGCGAAGGAAGCTGCTCATTTCCCAGACCAGGCTCTTTATCTATCGTAAGGAATAAACTTACAGCTCCGCACTACAGTGCTGGCGAATGAGGTTAATGGGTACTATTTGGATATTGTGGTTCTGCAAGAGGTTCACTGGCCAGGGGAGAGGAGCTCAATAAGGAAAGGAAAGTACACTATTTGGTACAGAGGAAGTGGAAATCACTGTTTAGTTACCAGGTTTCTAACTAGGAATAGATTGCTATCCGCTTTGAGGAAAGTACAATTCTTTAGTGATAGAATTTTAGGGACGTTGATTTAAAATCGCGTTAATAAACATACATTGTCTGACTGAAGACAGTGACAATAAAGTATTTTAGTGACAAATGCAAATTTTACAATCAACTCGAATGTGTTTAAAATAAACTACTGCAAAATTCCATGAAAATAGTTGTAGGTGACACAAACGCAAAGATGGGGAGGAAAGAAGTTAATTTTCCGATGATTAGTAAAGAAAGTTTGCACGAATATAGTAATAATAATGGGATCCATCTGATAAACTTTTCCATCTCGAAAAACCTGATAATTAAAAGTGCTACGTTTAAACATAAGGATGTTCATAAATATACCTGGACATCACCGGATTCGCAAACACGAAATCAAATCGATCATGTCTTGATACAACATAGATGGTGTACAATATTGGGGAGCCCAGTACATGCTATATGACCGGGAGCCCTTTTCTTGTCATTAGGGAGGTAATGCTTACTGACAAAGGGTTAGATCTGGGATGGACAACACCCGTGCTTGGCTATGCTGATGATCTGGTCCTGTTAAGCATACACTGAAATTATAATACTAAATACGATTACGTTAATGAAAGCTGGTAAAGAACTAGGACTTGGAATAAACACGGATAAGACAAAATATATGGTTAGCTGCAAAAATGGTGATATTGCGGGTTTAATAGATTAGAAGGTAATATGTTTGAACATGTAGAGAAGTTTAGGTATCTAAGGTCTACGATAACTAGAAAAGAAGAGATTAAGGTTAGGGTGAAAGCGGGAAATGCTTGTAATTTTTCTGTGACAAAACTACTTATCTCACGCCTCTGGTCCCGGGACTGAAAAGCCAGAATGTATAAAACCATTATTTTACCTACAGTTCTTTATAGATGCGTAACATGGCTGCTTAAATTAAGGGATGAGCAATGTCTTAAGGTTTTTGAAAATAAAGTATTGCATAGAATATTTGGACCGAAAGATGAGTTTACCAGGGAGTTCAGATGGTTACACAACGCCAAATCGTGTGACCTGTATCCAGTTAATATAATTGAGGTGATAACATTGCCTATATAATATAGGTTTATAACTTTATTGTGAAGATAAAAAAGATATGGATGCAAATCCAAATAATTTTAAGAGACTCGATCTAGATTAAAGAGTATGGATTCTGAGATCTAGAGGCCCAGTCCAAGAAGCAGTTGTGACCGCCGTGATGTCTGTTGCTGCCACAGGAAGCAGCAAAAAAAAGTTCGTCAAGGTGGAATGGCAGGACGAAGAAGGCCAAGTATTGGGCAAAACAGCATCAGTAGATAATGTATTTCCTAGTTTGCCCAAACCAGCACAGACCTGGAGAGCCTAATGATGAAAAAAAAGAGAGAAAACAAGATCCTCCCTCAGAGGTTAATGACAAAATATGCTCCATTTGTGGGATGAGTTTCAACGGTGATAAAGGTCTCAGAGTCCATATTGCTAAAAAAAGCATCCCAGGAAGGCAAATAACGCTAGAATTAGAAGGCTTAATTAGTTATACAGAAAGGGGAGGATGAGGAAGAGAGAGTAAGAAAAGAAATAGCCAAACGGTTGGCTAACTTACAGAAATTTGTTCGGCAAAATAATGTGGAATTTTCCGAAGCAGTGAGCAGTTTTATAAAATTTCTAAAAACCAACAATGAAGAATTACCTGGTCCACAACATCCTGCTGTTAAATTTTATAAGCTAAGAAAATATAAAACCAATATGGCTGGCAAGGGTGCGGGAAAAGTGTCAAATGTCAAATCCACAGAGGGCCAACAAGGCAGATAGAAGTCATCGGCAAGACCAATATGAGGTAGCCTAGAATTGTGGTTCAGTGTACTTGACAGCCATTTGGTTTTTTCGTTTTCTGCGATTGGACGGACGTAAGGCTCGTTACTTAATGCTGTTTGAGATATATTAATCTTAATAGAGAACTTTTTGGATTTAATCGATATCAGGGTCGACTGTTATGTTTTCGGGAGCGCTTTTTATAAAAATACTGGCGAATTTGCTATTGCATCCCCCCCACCTCAACTTTTTGGATTTAATCAATATTACGCTCAAGACAGGAAGGAAGCCGCTGGGTACTCCTCTCCCTCACGCCTATTCCAAGACCAATCTCTACATCTTGACATCACACTCGCTGATTGTCGGAACTTCTGACAGGTTTGAGTTGAAGAATCAAGTTAAAAAAAAAAAAAAATCAATATCAGGGTCGGTCGACTATTATGTTTTCGGGGTAGCTTATTATGAAAATACGGTCGAATTTGAGATTGTGTCCCCCCACCCTTCAGCATCAACTTTTTGTAACTAGAAGAAAGAAAGTGGTGCAGAACATTATGAACCTCGACGCTCCTAAGCAATGTCCTCTAAAGATAGCAGAGAACATAGACCACTTCAGAAGCCTTTGAGAAAAAAATCTCTGCAAACATTCAATTATGAAAATTGTGCCCCGACGCCAAATTTAATATCCATCGATGTTCAAGCGGTATAAAATGCAATAAAATCCACGTTATTGGACATCGCTGGGGCCGGACGGAGTTTTGATCCTCACAATTAAATTCTTAGATGCATCTCATATCATTAAGACTATTGCAGAGATCATACTGAAGATGGCTTATGTACCAGAGCCTCTAAGTCAAGGGCACACAATCCTGGAATACAAGGGAAAAGGAAATACCAACAGCATATTTGCGTGGAGACCTATTACCATTTATTCGATTGTGCGCCGAATCATTGAGAAGGTTCTGGACCATGAACAAATCACATTCAGCAAAAATCAGAGGGGCTTTATCAGGGGCCTACCGGGAGCACATGAATTATCGACAAGACCATAAAAGATGCTAAAAACAGAAAGAATGATTTGATGGTGTATCTAGATGTCATTGGCACTTATGATAACATAGGTCATGATCATATTATCAGCTCACTAGAGGCAAGAGGATTGTCACTGGAAATTTTTTTTTTTTAACAAAACATATGTTTTGCAATGTTAATAGCTTAATGTAGTTTATTAGTGCTTTATACGAATAGTATTGTGAAAAGGGAGATTTCTCCCTTTTCACAACACTAGTTTTATATATATATACAAATATAATAATAGAATAATGTAATGTAATGTAACAGCTATGTTCATATGGATTGATTAGTATGCTGTGTATAAAGCAATCCTATGTAGTAAGGTAGCATTACTATTACTTTCAATAAAGTATTTCTCTCTATTTTTTAACAAAATGTTGATATCAGAATTGCTGAATTACTGCAGTGTACTAAATAATAAATTTTTATAAAAGTAACAAGTAAAGAGTAAAAAAAATTTATTTCAAAATATTAACATATATTTATCACATATAAAAAAGTATAACATATAACCATACCTTAATATAAAGAATTTGATTGTTTACTTTGGATTCATCATTACATTAATAATTACAAATTACATTACAATAATCTAAGCAATATAGATCACTTAAACTATATAAGTACAGCATCTTTTTATTTTTCAAAAATCTTAAAACTATATTTATAATTCATAAAAATGCTTAAAATTATACATATACTTAATTAGCAACTATACAAGTTAAATAATATTACAGTACTTAAAACTTATGTTATGATCCACAAGCAATACAATCATCTTTGTTTTGTAATGAGCAAACGAGTGCTTCCATATTAAAATTATTTTCTTTCTTTGTTCCATTTTGAATTGCAGCTAGTGCTTTTGATTTATCTAGTGTAAATTGAATGGCTTGAGCAGCAGGCTTTGTCCGAAGATAGTACATTCCTGTTTTCAAACCCTACAAACAAATAATTATTTTCAATAGTAAATATAGATTGCAAAAGTCTTTTAATTACAAATGCATTGAAAACAAATAGAACAAGGAATTATTAAATAATTGTGGGTAAATGGTTGACTGTCGTGAATAATGAAGAGAAGAATAGTTGGCGTGATCAGTCAAATAAGAAGGCAAAAATAAATGATAATAGTATTGTGGCTTCATCTCTAACGGTTAGAGATGACGCCACAATATATCTCTCTTCCCCCTCCCTTGCTACCATATTCTCACTTCTCCATCAACCTTTTTGGAGACAGGTTTGTTTTTTTCTTTTTCTCTTTCTTATTTCAGCCTTATCAGTTTCTTTCCTCCTTCCTTTCATTCCTTTTCTCTGTTTCAACTCTTTATTATATTATACGTTGTTTACATTTTGATAGACTTTACAATATCTCAATTTTCTATCTAACTATTCTATTCGCAATATCTTAATTTTGCTATTTATTTTCATTTCTCATATAACTTCATATTTCTTTTTTCTGTTTTACTTTTTATTCTAAGATTCCCATTTCAATACTTATGTCACCTTTTTTTATTATGTTTACTTCATCATTCCACACTTTGTAACAGTTATTATTATTTATCTCTTATTTCTTACTATTGTCATTATTCTAAAAACTTCATTTTACTTTAATTTTTTTTACCTACACTACTTATGTTTCTCATACCTTATTATCTGGTTCTTTTCTTAGCCCTGATGAAGGCCTGCACTTCAGGTCGAAACATCGACAAATGTCAATATAAATATTATCATTTATTTTTGCCTTCTTATTTGACTGATCACCCCAACTATTCTTCTCTTCAAAATTAATATATAATTTACAAAAGGAATTAATGGTTAGGATGCCACTTAATGGACCATTGCATCAATTACAAACAAACAGTTTTAAAAAGTAAAGATTTTCCCAATTCAAACGATGACTTAGAAAATACTTCACCTGCCGCTTGGTACCTCAGGAATTGTCAAATTTTAAAAACTATTGTCTGATGACTCAGTCTACATAAGATAATGTTATGTGGATATATATGATTAGTTGTATATCTTTGACAGTAAATGAAATCAAACCTGTAACCTCTGACTGTAGATTGTATTTTACACTAGGTTCAACTATAAAAAATAAAATCCCAACAAACTTTTTCTCCTCCTGTTTCAATGTATATATTTAAAATATACATTAAGAAATTAAGAATAAAAAATCAAATCACCTCAATGTACCACGCAAGTATTTACGTTACATTACATAAAGTAATTAATATGTTATAAGATTGTAACATCATGAAAATAAGTCTGGTGGCAACTGATAAACTGTAATTAATAAAAAAACATTCTATTCTTTAAAAAAAGAATACATTTGACATAGGTATAGTTTGAAGTATGTTAAAAGAAATTCCAGAACAAATATTTAGAAATATGCACATTGTTTCGCTAAATATTATAACTCATAATTGTCAAAAATCTTACACAGATCATAAATTATCATTTAAAAAAATATAAATAAATGTATATATATTTATACACACACACACACACACATACATACATTCTTCCAATATAGGACTCAATAATTGTCAAAAGTGATGCACACATCATTAATATAATTAAAAAAATAAAAATATTTATATGAATATATGAAAAAATAAAGACTAACCAATTTCCATGCATGGAAATGCATAGATGTGAGTTTATCAAAGGATGGTTCAGCGATATGCACATTTAGAGACTGTGATTGATCTATGAATGCACCACGTTCAGCAGCCATCTCTAAGATTCGCTTCTGTTTTATTTCCCAAACAGTTTTGTAAATAGCTTTTAGCTCATCAGGTATTCTTGGAATATTCTAAACAAACAAAAAAAAAACATATTTTGAACAATCAGGAATTTTAGACAAATGGATCATTAAAGACATATTACAAACAGAGAATAAAGCTATTAACATATTTTTTAAAGAAAATAACCTGTATTGATCCATTGTTTTCAATGAGAGCATTCTTCATTTCATCATCCCATAAACCTAGATCCACTAAGTCCCTAAGTAGGTGATGATTCACAACCTATTCATGAAGTAAAAATATGATTTTAAAAATAATATGGAATATTTACACTAATAAGTAAACCTCTATAAGTAAGATCATAATATTGATTTAACATATTACCTGAAATTCTCCAGAAAGTACTCTTCTTGTATAAATATTGGAAGTATATGGTTCAAATGACTCATTATTGCCTAAAATTTGGGCAGTAGAAGCAGTTGGCATTGGTGCAATAAGTAGAGAATTACGTAATCCATGCTTTGCAATTTTCTCTTTCAATGCAGCCCAATCCCAAAGATCAGTTGGCGTAACATTCCACATATCATACTGTAAGATCTTTAATAAAAAAAAAAAAATTGAAATTAGTTTTAAAACATTCTTTGAAGATGACAAACATGTTTGTTTACTTACACTTATAACTGAAGAAATCTTATAATTTACTTCTTAAATTTAACTTGAAAGTTAGAGTATTGACGAACTAATTCTTTAACACAAAAAAAATTTACCCCTTGACTAGCAGGAGATCCGCTGTAAGTCTCATATGGTCCTAACTCTTCAGCCAATTCACAACTAGCTTCAAGTGCTCCATAATACAAAGTTTCAAAAATCTGTTTGTTTAAAAGCCCAGCAGCTTCACTTTCGAATGGTAATCTCATTTGAATGAACAAATCAGCAAGTCCCTGAACACCAATTCCAATGGGACGATGTCGCATGTTAGATCTTTGCGCCTGAAATCAAAATAGTGCTGGTTCTCACTTGTTCAAATTGAATAAATGTACTAGATTTTAGATAAATAATAAAAAACAATTCAAATCTTCATTTCAAAATAGTCTTGTCACTGAACTGAATAAGTATGCAGTGAAATATAAGGTATGCTATAAATCCACAAAAACTAATAGCCAGAACCGGAGACAGGGCCTATGCTAGTCAGCCCCTATGCCTACTTAAACTAAATAAGGGGCGGATCTAGAGATAATTTTTGGGCAAGGTAACTGCCATAGCTTTAGGAGCCAGTGCCCAAAGCATTGCAGGTGATGGTTTGGATGTAAATTACACAAGTGTATGTTACTTAAAGTAAAATGAACCTTGTCTGCTATTTCAGAGCCGCTGCTTTCAAAAATGGTAGCTGATTTAAAGAATATTAGGTCAGTAACTTGAGGATCGAAACGGAAAATATACTGCGAAAAGTTATTACTTATGTATATGGGTTTAAACGTGAAAAAAACAAAATTGCTAACACGAGCAACCAAGGGAAAACGTTTTACCAAAAAGCCAATTTTTTTTGTAACTAAACGGTGCATCGAAGCGAAAAATGTACTCTAAAAGAACATTTAATTGTGCGACTTACTTAGCATAAAATTAATAATCTCCCGATGACTTTAAATTGGTAATGAAGTATATGTGATTTTTAATTTCTCAACAGTATAGGTGTCCATTCTACTGAGTTATTCTTTTTTAAAATCTGCTAAATAAAGTATAGTCCGCTCCTCTTCCACCTCTCAGCAGGAAAGGATTTTGAGAAACGCAGTGCCAAAAGAAACCGAATTTTATGAAGAATTAACATACCCATATTTGAGATATAATTGACCTATATTATAACTGTAGGTACCCAGTCGACGCATTTGATGCTCTACAACTTTGGTTCTATGATATTTTCCTCTCTCAGAGAACTCATTTTCAAGGTACAGCACCATTTATAGTAATTTATCTCAGATTTTGACAAAGTTGGTAACCTGTAATGTTAACTGCGGTAAGCACAATTCAACGTTCTTTAATTTCTTAAAGAATACATTTTTTGCTTTGATACACCGTTTATGAGTTATAGGTTGAAGACAAAGAAATATGGTTTTGGTTGAAAAAAGTTTACTCTTGGTTGCTCGTGTAAGCAATTTCTGTTTTTACATGTTTGAATCCATATACACAAGTTAAAAAGATAATAATTTTTACCATGTTTTTCGCAATATATTTCCTGTTTCGATTACTAAAGTTAATGGCTTAATATACTTTAAATCAGCCACCATTTTTGAAAGCAACGGCTCTGAAATAGCAGAGAAGAATCATTTTACTTTGAATAACATATACTTCTATAGTTTATATCCGATTCATTGCCTGCAATGTCGATTTTTTGGCATTGGCTCTGTTCTGGCTATTACTTCAAGAATTCAAGCTCTGACTTCTACTAATAATAGGTTAGATTAAAATGAAACCTGTACTACTACAACCCATTAAGGATCTTAGGTTGTGTTGATATTTGTTAAGAATTGGTAAGAAAATAACATTTGTCAACAGTTATACGATGAAAGATGGAGGTGGGGTATCGCAGTGGTAGGGCACTGAACTTCCAATACTCGAGGTCCCAGGTTCGAATCCTGGCTCCTGGCAAAAAAATAATTAATTAAGGAGGGAAACGTGGTGGTTGGGTATGATCCTGGCCCGATCTCCTCCCTGCAGAACTGTTGGCCTTGAAACAGTACTTTCAAAAAATAGTACTCAATGCAAGACCCTTCATGGATTGTAGTGATACAGGTTTATACGATGAAAGCTCAGAGTATAATACATCACCACTCTTAAGCACCAGATTTAGCCTTAACTAAAGAGCCAGGTACCATCATGCATAGAATTCAATATTATATGTTTGAGCAGTCCAATTCTTGTAAATTGTTCTATAAATATACTTTTCATTTACTGATTATTTTTTAGAGGTGGCAGCAATTCTTATCCATAATTAGAGATATTAATAAGCAATGGGGTAAAATAAGCTAAAATCATTTTTTAAGGAAGGGGCTGTTTCTTAGAGTATCCTTTAATTGGTTAAATTATAAATAAAAGTAAATTTTAATTGATAAAGATTAGTATAAGTGATTAGTAATTTTAAATCAGTTCACATTTATATAGAATAAATTATTAGAATTGTTAATAGATTACCTCCTTGACAGGATAATAATTTATGTCTATAATCTTATTGAGATTCCAAGTAACAACTTTTGTAACAGCTTTCAACTTTTTAAAGTCACATGTTTTATCAGCTTTCATAAATTTACTTAATGCAATTGAAGCTAAATTACAAACAGCGATTTCATCAGCAGAAGTATATTCAATAATTTCGGTACAAAGATTACTGCACTTAATAGTTCCGAGATTTTTCTGGTTTGATTTTCTGTTACAAGAATCTTTGTATAACATATAAGGCACACCAGTTTCAACTTGAGATTCAATGATAGCTTTCCAGAGATCACGAGCTTCAACTTGTTTTACATAGCGGCCTTCATTTTCATAACTAAAATGATAAAATAAAAATTAAACTAAATAAAAATTACTTCATATAGAAGAAGAAATGGGGTAGAAATAGCTAGGGATTCAATGAAGTTGTACCACCAATGAGTGATTCATTAAGTCAGAGTATATTACAAGTCGGTTTAGTAACATTGACCAGAAAAGACCATTTTATTTTAATTAAACAAAGTATTAGTTTTTAAAAACTTGTTTACAATAACAGTTGAGGCTTTTAAAACTTTAGATGAATAAAACTTAGCTTCATAATTATTAGGTAATAAACATTTTATTTCATATGATGCCAGTGAAAGTAATATTATCCATAAAAAAAAAATCATAATCAACTTACCCAGTATAAATTTTCTCAAATTCACTACCCCATGTATCGGCCAACTTAGGACAGACGTGGGGACACATTAGACTCCATTTTCCATTAGCCTGGACACGCTCCATGAACAAATCGGGTATCCATAAGGCATAAAACAAATCTCTAGCACGTACCTCTTCTTTGCCAGTATTCTTTTTTAAATCAAGAAATTCAAATATATCTGCATGCCATGGTTCAAGATAAACAGCAAATGCACCTGGTCTCTGAAATTAAAACCTTATTGCTAATTTAATAATAAAAATTATTATACTATAGTTAACATAATTATTTAAATAAATAAGTTATAACATGCCTGATAATTATTAATGCTTGAAACTAAACTGCCTCACCTTATTGCCTCCTTGATCAACATATCGAGCTGTGTTATTAAAAACTCTCAACATTGGGACAAGGCCATTTGAGATACCATTGGTGCCAGCAATAAATGTACCTTTAGCACGAATGCAATGCACATGAAGTCCAATACCTCCAGCAGTTTTTGATATTAATGCTGTCTGTTTCAGAGTATTATAAATACCTTCAATACTGTCCTCTTGCATGGCTAATAGAAAACAACTAAAAAAATATATATATTATAGAAACTCTTTTTTCCCCAGTTTTGTTCAATATTATATACTAAATTCATAACAACCTAGAAAGTTGAGGTTTCGGAGTTGCGGCACTGAATAATGTAGGTGAAGCATGGGTAAAATATCCTTCAGAGAGTAGATTATAAGTTTTAATAACAGCATCTATATCCTCACCATGGATTCCAACAGCAACCCTCATCAACATGTGTTGTGGTCTTTCAACAACTTTTCCCCCAATTCGGAGTAAATATGACCTTTCAAGTGTCTAAAGGGAAATTAAAATGATTAAATTTTCTCAAATTAAGCAAAAATGAGTGATAAATTAATTAATTTTACTCAGGGAAGAAAAAAGAATATTCTAGATAAAATCAACCAATAGAATTATTAATTTAGATTCTAAGCTTGTCAAAATCTTTGGAACTCTTTAGGCGGGGTGACCAAGCAAGCTAAAGAGTGTGTAAAACACATAACACCTGGCAACCTGTCAAACCAAAGATCAGGTGTTCAAATCCTCCCGGTCCCAGGAGACTTTTACCTCTGGTGTTGATCCTCCATCCTCCGAAAAGGCTAGGAAGGGAAGAACGAAAAAAAATTTTAAACTCAATATTAATGTTCTATCCATAAATACAGCCAAAAACATAGCATTTCAGATATTTATTATTTCCATTTTTAGAGTAATAGTTTTTAAGAATTAAAAATCTTCATTTATAATTCAGGTCTGACAGCCATCAGAAAAAGATCCCCAATTTCAAAATATCTGTTCACCATGGTACAAACAAAATATTTATATCATTCTGAATAAAATCCAATATATGCTAAACGAAAGTCTGAGGTGTCATTAATTGGGGTATAACTACCACTTAAGTAGGCCATATGTGAATAAATAAATTAGGGTAATATGTGGTGGCAGTAAATATATAACCAAATTACAGAAAAATTGCCAAAATTCCACAATAACACCAGAAGTTGGAATATTGAATCCAGGAAAGGGAGTGCATTAGTGCATGCTTTCTTAGTCCAACCCATAATGTGAACTATATACACATGATGATCTAAATGCAATTTAGTTCTTTTTTAGAGGATTTGTTTAATTTAAGATCAACATCAACTTAAATTTGGTAACATATTTGAACCATATTAAAAAAAAAAAAAACATCTATGACAATCAAATCTAATATTGAATTGAAATATTATAAATATTGAATCTGAGGATTATTTATTATTTTATTAATTTATTTTATGATAATAAAACATACAAATGAACTCAAATTATTGAAAAATAAAAAATTGATTGAAGATTAATATAATAGATTATTAGACAGTACTACGTTGTGTTGCTTCACTTTGATAGGTGGGCATGTTTCTTATCTTAAATAAATTATAAATGGCACTTTGAGAATGGTCAGCATTACTTTGTATACAATATACCCCCTCCCTTACTTTACCTAGATCTATGAAATGAAATGAAAAAATAATTTTATTTTTGGACTACAGTCTCCTAAGAATAATAACAGTTACATAATTAAGAACATTAGTCTGACATAGATGAATACAAAATGATGCCTAATTAACTCTTGATTGTTATTGCAATTGTGCAGTTGATTGAATTAGACTTTGTACAGACAGAAGTGAATTTTACATGTTTGTGGAAGTTTGAATATGGAGTAGGTGGTGAAACAGGAGTTGTTTGAAGGAATTTGTGGACTAGGATTGGCGTATGTATGGAGTTACATAGAGAGTTCCAAAAGGAGGCAGCACAAATGAAGAAGGAAGTAGCATAAATGGGAGGGGATATATAAATCTATAGGTTGAGACTTAGTATTTAGAGTAGATCCAGGAACGTAGAATAAGGAGTTCCATGATGTAGGGAGTGTTTTTGGTTCTGAGGACTTGGGAAAGAAAAACGCCAAGGAGGAATTGTCGTCGGGAAGTAGGATAAAGCCACTTCAACTCAGTGTAGCTGAATGAAACATGGGAGTGCTTGGGGATTCCAAAGATGTATCTTATGAAACAGTTCATGAGCTTCTTTAATCATATTTTTAGCCTGGCAGATTGCCTTCCATACACCAAGCAGCCGTAGTCGAAGTGGGGAAATATATGGGAGGTTAAAAAAAAAGACAGTTATAGATTTTCGGGTAATCTGGGAAATATGGTTATTCCAGGAGAGGTTCTGGTCAAAGGTTACTCCTAGGTTTTTGACTGTAGGAAAAAAATAGATAGGGTGGTTATTGAGGTAAAGTAGAGGAAAGTAGGGAAGGGAATTAATGAGATGTCTGGACCCAATAAAAATAACCTTAGTTTTATCTGCATTCAGCTTTAACTCATTCCTTTCAGCCCATCTGTTGATGTAATCGATATCCTCTTGTAGCTTTTGGGTGGTAACGGGAGTGTTGAATGGCGTCATAAAGGTCACTAATATAAATAGAGAAAAGGGTCAGAGAGAAGGAGGAATCCTGAGGAACACCTCGTGTTAATTGAAGGGGAGACGATGGAGGTTAGTTCGGAATTACAACTGTCTGTGATAGATTGGATAAGAAGGAGAGCAACCATTTTAGGACGCTATTTGATAAGGGTAGGCTTTGGAGTTTAGAGAGGTGGATCTCATGATTGATGGAATCATACCCTTTGGAAAAGTCAAAAAGGATTAGGATGGAGATTTTCTGTATATGCATGTTAGATTGCAGATCTTGGGTAATCTTTAGCAAAGTAGATTGGGTGGAATAATGGGAACGGAAACTAAATTGTAAAGGATTGAGTAGGTTTTGCTCAATAAAGCAGTTCAACTGAGAGTGGACTAATCTTTATAGAGGCTTGGATAGATTGGATAAAATGGAGATGGGTCAGAAGTATGAAGGAGTAGGAACTTTGTTCAATGGGGGACCATGGTTTTTTTCCAGGATTTGGAAAAAATGATACTTTGGAGAGAGAAATCACATAGGTGTAGAAGTACAGGAAGTTGGGCTGAAAGGCAGCATTTGATAATTTTAACAGGTATTTGGTCAGGACCACAATTGTTTGCTTTGGATTTAAGAGTAGCAGAGAGTAGGTCGGTAGGAGAGAAATCAAGAAAATAAAACTTAACAGGAAAATAAAACTTATAAGGGATTACGGTGATGGGAAAAACTGAGCGGTTATATGAAAACTGGTTATTCAAAAAAGAATTTAGGTTGTTCAGATCGAGTGGATATTGTATTGTGTGTAGGTTTTCGAGCTAACAACAGAGAGGTTCTTAAGGATTGTCCATTTGGATTTAGGATTAGGTTCTTGGGAAAAACGTTATTAAATCATTGGGCTTTGGTGTGGTGTAGAGACATTTGAGTAAGGTTTCATAGGGATTTAAATATGGTATAATGCTGTGAAAGTCGAGTACGTCGGTAGTGTTTTCTGCCAGCCCCTCTTCTGCTCATTAGTTGTCGTACTTCTGTATTAATCCAAGGAGCGTCTAAACATATGTGTTTTTATAGCTGCATGATGATAGAGGAAATTAAGAAGATTTGAGGAAAGGCATTCAACCATTTCATCAATGAAGGGAAGCCAAAAAGGAATCGAGAAAAGGGCTAATGTTTTCAGTGGTTAAGGAATCAAGATCTCTCCAGGAAATGAGTTTGGGTTTAGGTGTGGGAGTGGAGATGTACGATATTTCAATAAGATCGTGGAATGAAAGGAAGGAAACTGGAATTTGTGAAGAGGATAATAGGTTATAAGGGGAATCAATAATAAATAAGTCTAGTCAAGTATTGGTGAACTGAATATGATGGGTGGATTGAAAGGGAACAATAAATAGGTCTAGAGGAAAAAACTAGGTCAATAAGATATGTTCTGTCCGGAGAATTTGAAAGAAGGTTGGTGTTGAGATCACCTGCAATGATAATATTTTCAAAAAGAGGAATAGATACTTCTTGACTAGCACTGACTGCTATCTGCCAATGCTTATTAACCTGAACACTGATAATTCCGATAACGCAGTGATAAGCCTTCTCCTACTTCCTATCTTGATATTATTGTATTATATTCGTATTATTGAAAGTGTAAACAGATACAAAAACAAATATAATAACAAAAAAAAACTTTTATTTTACGACACATACATTAATGAAATAATAAAAACACTTTAAGAAGATGTGTACATATAAAAGATCAAAATGAAATAATAAAAAACACTTGAAGAACATATGTAGATACAAAAGATGAAAATGAAATAATAAAAAAACATTTAAAGAACATATTTACATAGAAAAGAAAAAATATCAACACTATAAACAACATATGTACAATTTATTTTCACTTTGTCTTATTTATTTTGGAAGGCAAAATTGTTTTATGCTATTTAAAATAGCGAGGAACGGGTCCTCTTCTCTGTGAACCCGCCGCCACGAAAATTCGCACAAATATGAAATGAGTTGTTGTCTGGCAGTTCCTCTATGTACTTTATTTCTAAATTTCGCTGAGCTCCATAATCGTTTTATGTGTTGAGTATGAACCCCAGTTGATGGATCGACAAAATTATACCGGTAATTCACTTGGAAATGGTTATAGTTTGCTTCGTTCAGTTGTCGGGTGTTGTATCCTTTACAACAGTCCGAATAAATGGCCGTTCCCTCTTCTATATTGTCTTTAATTGCTGTAATAAGGTTGTTGCTTTTCTGTCATTTATTTTGACGATAAAACACTTATCTGTTTCTCGGAAAACTCCACCAAACATTCATTGCTGAGGTAAAACTCTCCACACATGATTTTTTCGTTTAGAAAAAAGACTTTCGTCTACTTCAACCACTTTGCCAGGTCCTCAAATTTTTTTTCTTGGCCTGTATAACATGTCATGAGCACAAACCTCTCTTAGACATTTGCTCCACGTTACCATAGCTCTCTTGGTTAGTTTCAGCGGCTCTTTGCCCCACTTCATCTTTATTAAGTTATGGGACCATTGAAGATTGAAACATTCCATCGATTGGTTCTCGCTGGAACCTATCAGGTTGTTTCTAACTGAATAGAAATCGCTGTCCATTGCTGTTAGGTTAAATTGATTAATAGAATCCATGGATAGAATTAGCACTGAATTTAGGAACTTACCCTTTTTGCTGTTAAGTTTTAAGATATGTTAATTCTTAAAATTACAATTTTTGTAAACGTTATGTTTTAATGTTCCTACTCAGTTCTACAATATTTATTTACGTTTTCTATATTTAAACTCTACAAATACTATTGTATACTATATGTTTTTAATAAATGACTTAAAATCTTTTAATGACCTACGAAGATTTTACGAAGGATAGTTGACACACCATTTTGTCACAAACGATAGATTACATAAAGACTTGAACATCAGAACAATTTTAGACACTATAAAAGAAAACTACAATAACTTTCACCAAAGTCTAACTTACAACAGGAATCCTCTGACAGAAAACCTTAAAAGAACTAAAAAACCATAAAGCCCACCTCGGCGATTACGTAGGGCATGGCCAAGAGACCTGCTGAACTGAACTATTTCCTAGATTGTGATAGGACGCTGTGAAGCTGCCAAAAAACTTGCTCATTGCAAAGAAATTAGCAGATTGCAAATTTAATTTTTATGTCCAATTTCATGTTTATGTATTAATAAATTAAAACTAAATAATGACCTAAAAATTGATTTTTACAATTTATTCTTTAGAAAATTTAGATCTTGAGATATTAGCCTTATTTATAAGAGAGAGGGAAGTCAAAGACAGTAATGTAATTAAAGCTAATTAATGTCCAATTTTGACTGAAAAAGGCCAGTAGAGCTTGCCCAATTTGTTGATAACAATCTTAATAAAAAAAGTTATACTATTAGTCTGTCAATCTATGTTCAACTAATCTTAAGAATCTCATTTACAGCATGATCATGAGATCTTGGCCCACTCATAACAGTGAAATAACACTTTTACAGCGGTAACCAAACTTTTTTTCTGAAACTAAATCATACATCTAGATAATTTTAGTAAAATTATCATAAGTCTATAAATGATTTTTAAATTAACATTAAAATATAAATGTAATACTTAGAGATAAATTACCTTAAAGCCAAAAAAATTATAATTGTAATCTCTATCGTAAATGATGGCAGAATTTAGTCTATCAGCATTATTCATAATGATTTTATGATGAGTATCAGAAATCATAGGAGCAGGGTCCCCAGTACCTTCTCTAACAACTAAGTAAAGATCATTCATAACATCTAAAAGCAGAAATAAAAATATCAAATAAAATAATGAGTAGAAATAGTCATAGAATAATAAGAAACAGTCATTAAGATTAGTTTACAAACCACTAAAAACTTTCTTGGTTTCTTTGTGTAAATTTGAAACAGCTATTCTAGCAGCAAGTAAGGCGTAATCTGGATGTTTTGTGGTCATTGTAGCAGCTGTTTCAGCAGCAAGATTGTCCAACTCAACCGTGGTCACGCCAGGATAAAGACCAGAAATTACTTTCATAGTGATCTCGATCTTTAATGAGCAAGCGAAAGTAAAAATTAATTAGGGCAACTTCGACTCGCATTTAAAGAGTCGTACATACTTTATGTATATAAGTATACTTACTGGATCCACAAAATCTAAATTTAAACCATAACATAGCTTTGATATTCTACTTGTTATTTTATCAAAATGGATTTCTTCTTGGCGGTCATCTAAAAAAAATAATAATAATAAAATGAGTTATCAAAACTTCTCAGAATTAGAAACTTGCAACTACAGTTTACAGATAAACACTAAATGCTACAATACTAAATACTACCAAGTAGGATTACTGAACTGCTAGATTTGACAAGAGGTCAGTGATTAAATATTACCTCGTTTGATGACGTATAATTTACTCCTAATAGATTCATTCTTTTTAACCGCAAAAACCATTTTCAAAAAGTATTTAAACCAACCAATGCAAATTGGTCACTAAACGAATAGAAGCAGCTACCACAACGAACAATTACTTATCTTGGCGCTTAAAAAACCTACAGATATTGGAGGGAATTGCACACCAGATGTTAGCATAGAGATAGATTGATGGAGTTACCATAGTTCAAATATATATATTGTATATTTTCGATTTGAAATATTAATTGTTAACTTGAATGATTAAATTAAAATATTTCATTTTAGAAAAATATCGTTGGAAATGATATTTCTTTTGATATTATTTTATTTTGTATAGATATTTTGAGATAATAAACACCGCCCATCATCACACGATTTGTCCGACAGTCAGTAAGGGACGACCTGGTGCAGAAATGAAAAGTTAAGCAGGACTTCTCGATGCGGGAAATCGACTGGCAGGAAAATGACAACCGCCATATCTAACTCAGCGAGGAGATGACTCCTAAGAATAGGCGCCTTTACTGGTTCGCAAGACAGGAAAAGCCGCGGGGGAAATCAAGTACACCTGGTTCGCTTCTGGCACAGTGCGGTGTAAAAAAGAAGATGGCCATCAGGTTGTCCTCAGCGACCAGGAACAGGGCTTAGACGTCTTAGACTGGTGGCTTGAATTTCGTTCATCATCAAGCATCTATCAACATTTTGGCACTCTCACCGGACTTTCATCGGAAATCCTTTATTTTATATTATCTTATCACGGCTATTTATTAATTTATTTGCTTTTTGCTTCTTTTAATATTTTTTCTTCACTATATTTAATGTATTTAATCTTTTCCAGCGTCTTTCTATAAAATACCGAAATCCTACTCATGTCTAGTGTCCTAACTTCCTGTCACGTCAACTCCCAATCCCTTCCAGCCCATTACGATGAATTCTTAGAATATTTTACCCAAAACTTTTACCACATCATCGCAATTCCCGAAACCTGGCTCGAGTCCTACATCCCTTCCTCTTCAATCTCCTTTTCTAACTACACCTTAATCCGCCACGACCGTGACAGCCGAACTGGCGTGGGTGATTTGTACCCCTTTATTCCAAAATTATCATTTCCGGTGGCTTAAACACTAACTTTCTTTCCGACTCCAGCGACAAATCATACCTAGAAAACCTTCTTTTCTCTCTTCATCTTTTTATCGTTCCTTTTTCTGCTACACATCACAGTGCAAGGTCCGACACTAGGTTGGACCTGTACATTACTGACTCCACTCAAAACCTCCTTTCATCTTCCCAATTACCAGTTTCCTTTTTATCGTCGCATGGCTAGTCCAAATTTCCTATAATATCCAAACTCCTCCAATCCTAACTAGAACCATAACTTTCCGTAACCTTAATGGCCTTACTCGGGAAAAAATCTTACCTTCCCTCGAAACCCTAGATTTGAATAGAATATATTCCTGTTCCTCAATTGATTTCAAGGTTGACATTTTCACCTCCAATCTTCTTAGTATCCTTGATGACCATGCCCCTTTCAAAACCTCAACTTTTCGTCGCCTTCTTGCTCCTTGGATGTGTCAGAAAATTAAGGATCTTCAGAAGAGGTGTGGTGCTGCCCTTAGACGCTTTAGACATACTAGACTGGCTGACGACTATTAAGCGTTTAAGGTACTCTGCAACCTGTCACAAATCTTTTTTTTTTTATCCCCCTACCTGGCCATCTCTGGTATACGGGGTCCGGTGACATATCTCTTTATTTATACGTTTGTACATGCTTTCTGGATATTTATTTTTGGGAGCAATTCTGAGTACCTGTGGTTCAGAGCAGCGTGCGGTTGCACGCCTTAGGTAGGGACTGCACCTTCTCTTTCTTCCTCATCTTCCTCCGTCGCTTCCTCTACGGCCTCCGGCGGGCGTCCTGTCCCAAGGGTGAAGTGCTGCGGGCCCACTGCCTCCTTCTATCTCCTAACGTACTCAGTGAAGTAGAGGTAGCAGTCCTCGCTCGTCAGCCTCAGTAAGTCCGCCTCTTCTATCGCATATAGTCCTGTCATTCTTGACAGCCAAGCTCTATGCCCAGCCATATTTTCGCACCCAAGGACTACATGCTCCGCCGTGTCCGGAACCCCACAACTGGGACACAAGGGGTTGATGTTCTTCCCTTGCTTATTCAGTTTGGCTCTGAAACCCCCGTGCCCAGTAAGGAGGATCTGTTATGTCCAGTAGTCCGGATTTACCCACCTCGCCTCCATCCTGGAACTAATGGTGGGGAAGTACTTCCTCAGGGTTGAACCCTTCTCGCTTCTCACCCACCGCTTGTTCCACTCCCGAAGTGTGTCCTCCTCCATCAGCTTTTTCCATCTTCCTGACTCCTCTTCAGCCCTTCGCCGTAGTCCCTCCGGAAGCGAACCGAGTCCGTGTCTTTTGACATAGAACCTGATTACGTCCTCCTTTAGGATCAGATCGATGGACATCTCTCCAGCCAGAACCTGACACAAATCAGCCACTGAGCCAAATCTACTTATTTCCATGAGCCATCAGCTGCTGATTCCAAATCCAAATAGCTACTCTTTCGTAAACTATTCCCTTTCTTTATAAATTATTTTTTCTCTTATTTTTTATTCTGCGTTGAACGTGAATTTCCATCACCCCTCACAAATCATTGTGAGTAGGTAAAATTTGTTATTCTTAACTTCTACTTTTTCTATTCATGATATTGTATTTCATTAAAATGTATTTTATTTTCTACTTATCTTCGGCATACTCCTCTCTATTTATATATACTTTATTTTATTTATTTCGTCTCCTAATCTTTTCGTGTGTTCACTTAAATATCTTAGGGAACATATGTAAATTATTTTTTATACAATTTATTTTATTATATATCAACAGTTTTGCTTCCTCACTACCGAAGGTAGGTAAGCATTGGTCTTAACTTTGAAAAAACAAAAAGTTTAGTTTTTCTTATTTCTCTTATCGAGTTTTTGTAACATTGAATTTACGAGTGAAAACATGCAGAATAAGTATATATTACTACTGTTAGTGAAAATAATCGTAAGCATTCTACTACGAAGAAAAATAGTAGAAGGCAATAGATTATGAAATTATACTGATAAATCATAGCAAAACAATTAGTTTTTATGCTTTTCTGTAAAACACTCAATGTTTACATACGACTTTTTGCACTAACCGTAGTGATATTATCAGTACGCATTCGATTTTTTTTTTTTTTAATTCCGAGTCATCAAATATGCAATCTGCATATGTGGAACTTTTTCGCATTTTAGTATCCGCTGATGAACAAAGCTCGTGGATATAAAACCTGTATATGTTGAGGGATTACAGAATGTCCGAAAAAGGCTTCTCCCAGAGATTTTATTCTCATACGAAAAATTGTAGACCTTGTAATATAGATATTTTATAGCTAATGCAAACGGTGAGGAAGCTATACTGGACCTTCCTTGGCAGACGTTTTTTTAATAATTTTTATATTCCATCGCTACAATGCTTAGCTTATCAAATTTATTTAGCGTTTCCTTCTAATTCCGTTACCTTCTTCAACTTTATTTATCAGATATTATTTTTCTAAAATTCTCCGTTTTCCAATAATACATTACACATATACATATTATTTCCGGTGATTCATTTTCGACCTAGATAAGCATTTATCAATTTAAGCCTTTATTCAATTATCAAATTTCTAAAGTTATATTTAGCCTTTTTTCATAAATTCTAACAATAAGAGATTGTTAATTATTTAAAATAAACCAAATTAAACGTACTTTAGATGAAGACATTTTGAACATTGAGCATTTAGGCCATGCTAAGCGACATCAATAAGGATAAGACGTAAAAGATATTAAATATTACTTCATTGTAAATTTGTCGAGGTATTGTAGTGAGTATGCATTTACCAGAAGGCCTCGACAGAGTGTTGTTTAATTTAGGGGTAAGATGACTAAATGGATGAAGAAAGATGAGTAGAAGTGTCAGGCGGATCAGCACCCAAATCACTCATGGTCTGCGGTGTAAGGGATCAACCTTAACACACCACAGGGACGGTATCTACAAGAAGCTTATGTGTGTCATATGCCGATCAACAGCTTTTCAAGCCAACACCCCGAAGGATGGAGACCCTAGAGGACCTGACAAATTCGTCAAAGGACTGCGATAATCATTCCGCCATGACTAAATCGGTTATCAAGAGCCGTTACTATTACAGTTATTTTTAAGCTTTGATCACTATATGTTATCACCATTAAACTTTATTAATTAAAACTATTTACAATGTATATATATATATATATATTTCAATTTATAATTTGAGTATTTTACTATACAATAATAAGAAATAAAAATACAATATTTTAGGATAGATTGCTCGAGCGAACTTGTGTGGCGCTGTCAGGTAGCGGGCACTAGCTGAACTAATTGTCTCTTGTAGCAGGTGGCGGAAATCTGCTGCCGCCGCACATTAATATACCGAGTTTAATCAAAATCGTTGAAGCCGTTTTCGAGAAAATTGTAAAAATTTGTAAAATGTATGAGATAAAGTGGCACTTTCGGTTAGCCGATTTTAATGAAAAAGTTGTTTTCATATCCAAGCCATACGCCTAACTTAAAAACGCAATTTCATCTTCGTCCGATTTTTCGTTTTTGAACTAGACTTTACACACAGACCATTTTACGTGACTTGGTTATTTTGGCTCAGGAGACCTCAAAACATGTATATCCGTTGAAAACTAAGATTCGAAAATTTTCACGATCGCAATACTTTCTCTTAGGGTAAGCGTACCAGTGATGGAAATAGCTAAAGAAAATTTTGTCTTTTTTTGCTTATACCGCTGTAATTATTATAGTTATGAACTTCTTCGTTGGTAATTTAGAATACTTAGGGTCTCCCTTTCCTATTTAACACTTTAAAATTAAAAAAAAATATTTAGTTATGCAGGTATAATTTCTAATGTGGAAAAAAAATATTGCCTCATTTGTTTACTATATTTTGCTAAATAACTCTTGATTGCTTCGTTCTACTATTAAGTCGTAGTAAAGAAAGTTTTTAATAATTAAATTTTCTTCAAGAAAATATATTATTTCACTAGTTTATAAAAGTTTATAATCCGACCGAATCCTCTGGTGCCAATCAAAAATTATAAGAAGATATAACCGGAATTTATGCTTGGGCAAACCACAATAGGATTACTCTAAACGCCAAGAAGACGAAAGTCATCCTGATCGGATGGATTTTCCTCACTCCTCAAATCCTTGCCGACAGTCTCCAATCTTTTCCTGAACAACTCACCTATCTCATTCCAAACTTCAGTAAAAAACTTTGGTGTTACCTTTGCTCAAAGCCTCTCTTGGAAACCACATATCTCCCAAATTTCCCGTCGCACTATATCTACCCTGAAACAGTTCAACTGTCTACACTATCTCCTTCCATATAAATCTCGTCAACTCCTGGTTTCCTCTTTTATGTTCCCCTATTTTGACTATGGCTGTCTGGTGTACGGTGGACTCTCGGGAGATTTCGAGACCAAACTTAAACGCCTAATGAATTGTGCATTACAATTTTTCGGAATCCCAAGATATAGGTATATTACCTAGTATTATACAAAGTTGAGGTGGCTCTACACATCCTATCGCCGTCAGTACTTCCTAGCCACCTTTATGTACCAGATCATTAGAACTCAAAGACTATCCTATATTTTTCACAGCTTACAATTCAAATACTCCATCCAATCCCGTTCCACTTGATCTCGTACTTCCGACCTCTACCCTCCTCCTCACCGAACTGCTGCGTTTGACAAATCCTTTGCAATTCAAGCCGCCTCCCTCTGGAATTCCATCCCTGCTGATATTCGACACGCACAATCACTTTCCTCTTTCAAACCTCTTCTCTTTAAACACCTACTCCTTTCCTAAACCGATTGATAACGAAATGTAAGTAAGAGAACTTTTTAACTTCTCGCAGAAATGATTTTGTTTACTTACGTTATTTTATTTTCCTACGTTTATTATATATATATATATATATATATATATATATATATATATATATATATATATATATATATATATAATATATATATAAGTTTTTGTTTTGTTTGTAATGTTTTTTTTCCTCCTATATTTTTATTTTAATGAGATATTATTTAGTTTAATGCGTGGTCACACAGACATTTTTTCCGTATTTATAATTTGTTCTAAAGGGACAACAGTCTCAGGTTAATAAAAAAAATAATTTATTTCAATTCATCAATTATAAGGATGAAACAAGAATTTCAGTCACAATTTTTGTTTCATCGTTAAATATGTTTAGGCGTTTTTGCTGAATTCTCAAAATATGTTTTTGTGTAATTTGTTGAAATGAGTCAAATAAGTACTTAAATAAGTTAGAGAGAGAAATAGTTTATCGAAAGTAGTACTGCCCTACTAAATAGGGTTGCTTTACATTTGGACATAATTTATACATTACATTATTCTACTACTACATATATATATATATATATATATCATTCCTTCTTTTCCTTTCTCATTATAATACTAGTCTTATAAAATATAAACTATTAACTATGTTCCACCAAGCCCAATAAACTAGAGTAAGCCATCAAGATTGCATAACATACACATTAAAAAAAATTGTGTCCACTCACACAACTTTTCTATCTATTTCAGAAGTTTTTATATCGTTACATATCTCCATCAAGAAATAACAACAAATTGAATTAGATTTATTTTCCTGAAATTATTTTATTTATTTAATTAATAAAGTAAAATATTTTTTTTATTTATTTTCAAGAAAAGATTTGAGTACGATTTAATCGATAAACTAAAGCAATTTAAACCGGTTTAAGGTAGATTAGTGTAAAAATTACAATACCCTATAATATTGCTTTTTCTATTAAAAGTAGAGGAAGTAGTGAAGCTTACTTTCACTTAGTTATCTTTTTTCTCACATTCACCCCTTTCTGACACCAAAATATGAACCCGTAATATTACATTGGAAATCGAATTGCTGTAACGTCGTTAATAGTTGTTAATTATAGAAAAACATGTTTTTCATTTATTGCGCATGGAGCATCCAATTTGTGCTGCAGCCATTAGTAACCAAAACTCTACACGATAAAAAAAGAAGGTACAAAATCGGTCCAGTAGTTCTCGAGAAAATCTTGGCACAGACAGACAGACCAATGGCTTAAAATGTGTTTTTCGGACTCAAGGGGGTCTGAAACTTATAGCTCTGTCAAAAACCGCTTATCGGAAATTGGACCCGATTGCAATACTTTCCATACCTAGTGTAGGTAGTAAAGTAAAAATCTGAATACTATGAATCCAACACTAAATCGCACACACACATGTACCCACAACTATAGACAAAATACAAGATAATGCTAAAAATCTAAAACAGAATAAATAAATATTATTTTTTTTTTAATTTGGGATTTCTACAACTTAAGGAGTCATATCCCCATCACCCAAAAGCCACAGCTCTCTGTCTATCCAATCTCCTTCACGGAGCCCTCTGGCTACCATGCATTTCTGTTTTGGATTTGAAAGCGAAATATTTTTTTTCGATGAATGGGTGCTGGCCCTACGATCAACCTTTTTCAAACTTCAAGGACAGTGGTTTGATTTTGGGGTTTCCTTTCCCTAGACAGATTGCCTTCACTATGGCTATGAGTCCTGTCCACCCAGGTCGCAGTTTAACGTCATGCCCGGGACGTATATTAATAAAAACGTAAATATTAATAAAAACGTAAATGTTCGTTTGTTCAAAACCGCCGAAACTTCTTCACTGATTGCTTTGAAATACTGACATGAAGATTCTATAGGATTCAGGAGTATTTTTATGTACATTTAATTACCCTTCCATCTGGCAATATTAGAGAGAAACCTATTACATAAATAGAGAGAAACTTATGAAATAAATAATAACGGTAAAAAAGTTGGGGGTTTGTGAAATAAACTAAGATGGGGACCAATGAAATAAACAGAATGAAATTAGGTAACAAATATGAAAATAAAAATTAACTAAAATGAGATAAAATGTAAGTATTAGATATAAAATAAATAGGGTGAATTAGCTTCTAAAATATGATGTCTTAGGGTGTTAAAAAGAAGCCAGATAGACAAAGAATAAATGGTAAAACAGAAAACTCGGCTATAGACCAATTTTAGAATTATTTTGAATATAAAAATAAGAAATATTGATAATATGTTACTTTAATTCTTCATTTTTATCAATAATTCAATTTTCTAAAAATATACTTATCTCCTTTAACCCCATGACTCATCAATCAATAGAGAGTTTATAAGATGCTTTCTTGTTCTATAACAAATTTAAAAATATAGATAAGTGAAAGTAAAACAAATAAGTAAAAATGAAAAGTTAAGTTAAGTAAATGTGAATTGGCAGTTACTAAGTTAGATTTAAGTATCATAACGAAGACAATAAAAATCTTTCGTAAAATACGCTGTCGATATTATTGAAGATGTTGAAAAAGGTCTTTAAAAATAAATAACGGGGCAGGGAATTAATGTTATTAAAAATATTGTAATAATTCCTATGGTGCCAGCAGGATTTTAGGGTGGGGATATCAATTTTTTTAAACTCATTTGTTTAAACAACGGCCAATTACAAGACTGAGTGTTGAACGGGCATTTTCTCTTTTAAAAAGTATACCCATAGTTTAGATATATAAACTAAAATTATAAGTTTTAGTTTTTTACGCATTAAATATCTAATAAAACGTATTAAATTAAATAAGTACTTTAAATTTATTATAATGTTTTTGGAATTTCATTTATTTTAGAGATTTTCATTGCCCGTTTTTTAAAAAACAAAATTAGGTTTATTAGTACAAATAGTAATAGAAACATCAAATCAATTTATTTATGAGTTGTAAAAATTAAATATCGTTTTATTTATTTCATGTAAATGTGAATAACATTTGTCTAAATTGTTCATTTTTATTGAAATAAGCAAAATATTTAAAGTAAAATCTTAATTATAACGTGCTTTTATAAACTTTCAGAATTTTGTTATAAATCTCATCATAATTAGTTTTTGTTATTTATATCAATAGGAATTTTTTAAATTTTAAGTAAATTTTGGTTTTACTTAAACAAATTTTATACAAATTTGTACATGTTCAAGTTGGCATTTGTCTTTGAAAGGCTGTGATGTTAGCTCCTTCTTCGACCATCTTGGCTTGGCTTGGGTTCGGTTGAAATTGAGTCGAGTTTTTAAGTTCAGCATTGCTTGCATAAGTTTTTCTTTTAGTCACTTTTGCATATAGTAAGTCAGTAGTGTTTTTTCAAATTCATATACAGATTCTTTATTTGTTTTGCGCCGTTGATGATATAAATCAATACATACGCAGTTTCAAGAGTTTGTAGAAGTAATTGTTTATGTTTTTTCAGAATCATGTCTCGTTATAGAGATTCGAATCCTGAGTGTAAAATCTATATAGGGGATTTAGGTATTGATTGTAACCTATTTTTCGGTGTATATGTAATTTATAACTATATAAGTAACATTAATTATTCTTTATAGGGAGTGCTGCTAATAAACAAGATCTAGAAGATGCATTTTCTTACTATGGTCCGATTAGAAGTGTATGGATTGCTCGCAATCCACCAGGATTTGCTTTTGTTGAGTTTGAAGATCCCAGAGATGCTGAAGATGCAGTTAGAGGATTAGATGGAAGGTTGGTTATAATTTCATTGTCTGAATTAAATACTTAACAAATGTATAGACATTTAATTTATTGGTTAGTCATATTATATTTTCTTACTCAATATTTTAATTTTTTAGAAATGTTTGTGGACGACGTGTGAGAGTAGAAATGTCAAATGGTGCTAGACGTCGAGGCTCAGTCAGAAGAGGCCGACCATTTCATCCTGAGGATAAATGCTATGAATGTGGAGAGCGCGGACACTATGCCAGAGATTGTTCTAGATACAATAAGAGATCAAGGCGCAGGTATGTTCCGATTTACTTTAGAATACTGTTTATTATGTGTGAATGTTTGAAGTTACATTGTATTTTAATTTCATTAATTTTTTTGCATTATTCTAAGTATGTTTGTCAATTTTAATATTTACAGTGAAGTCTAATTATTATTGTATATTTATTTTATGATGGCTTTGTGATTTTCAAAGCCTTATATCATTAATTTCAGTACTGCTAAAATTGTGGTAAGTTAAATTTATTTAACACATTTAGCATTATCAATGTTAACTTTTATTTTTTATTTGAGGAAACCATTGTGATCTTTAAATTATTTATATTTTCATTACTATTAATAATTGTTCAGACAAATATTTCTGACCTGCTACTCAAACAAAGTGGTTATTTTGTCATCTAAAATGCAGTTGAATAATTTTATTTCTCATTTAAGTGTTTTGTTGTTCATCACCAACCATACTGATTTAACCTTTTTATGTTTTTTTGTTATCAGAATCTAATATTATTCAAGTGTTAAATGAAAATAGAGTTGTCTGAAAGTGTACAAGTATGGACAGGATTTATTTTCAGTCCCACAATTAACATTGCAAAGAAGGATAATTTTCATTCTCTCCTTTACCTTCTGTCTCTAAAGGTGGATCGAAATTCATTATTTCTAGTTTATATTGGGTTGTGATTAATTCACTATCAAAATAAACATAAGTTGTATGTTTTTAACCTTAATAGTGCTCTAATCACAAACCGTAAATTGTGATATTTTTTAAGCATGTTTATGAATACCCTGAATGGAAATATTAAAAGGATTAGCGAACCCTAAAGTTCAATGCTGATACTATCAATCGCTGTCTATACATATCCCTCTACGCCCTTATTACTAGACTTACTAATTTTGGTGGAGTTCCCTGTTCAATTAGTATGTTATACAGCTGTTGGCAGTATATAGAAACAAAAGTTTTTTTGAAATTGATACTTATACGGTAAGCAATACTGTTGTACTCCAATACTATTTGCTGTAAAGAAAATATTTGATCAATAGTTGCTGTCTAAATCTACATTGGTGTTCTCTGATAATTTCCTCTGCTTATTGCTTGCTACAACTGGAAAGGATTGATGTGAATATTTTATAATATACTAAAAGGAGTGAGATTCATTGGTAGCTATTACAGTCCATCTTCAGGTTCTTCTTTGTCAATTGGGATAAGAATAGATCCTTCCTATTCTTCTGGTAATTTTAGAAACTCCAGCTTTCCCTCATACCTTAATTAGTTCACTAGAAATATTTTCGGTTTCCTTTACTTCATAAGATTTTAATTTTCTGATAGCTACTTCAACTTCCTCTTTACTCTGTACTTCTACCAACAGGTTAATACTAAGGTATTCAGAGGGAGTCCACAGTTCATTATTTCTCATGTAAATATTAATATCATTATTTTCCATTTTATTATATTTTGGGTTTTGAGAAACTGAGTAGTGAAGAAGACTAAATGCTCTTTTGTGCTTGTAGCAATAAATGGATTAACAAATGTGTTAAATATGAATTGATTATAACTGAAATCTTCGCATATTTACTATCTGATCTCAATTCCATTTGTTAATATAAGGCATAATGGCTGAGCATATTAAAGGAACTACTTTAACTGTCAGAATTTTAGCAAATCCATTGCGAATTTGGCTTCAGTAGGACCCTCTCTGGTTGGAATAGGTTTGGTTGTAGATCCAGAACAGTCATTTTTTTTTTTTTTTTTTTTTCCTTGTGATAAGATGCATTGTAGTCTGACAGGCCTATTGTGTGCCCTCATAGTAGTCTCCACAATCCTTTTTTAGGTACAGTTTGATCTTTTTCGATATCATTTATTATAATATTGTGATAAGTTTTCCATTCTTTACTTCCTTCTTTTTTTAACAATAATTAGTTAGTAATTGGCACAGATATGGCTAGTTGTCATGTAAACAATTTTGTCACTCAATGTGTAGTGGAATTATATACTTCCACTTTATAACCATGAGAACAATTTTTTTATTAGAAATTTATAGTGTTTTTATTACTTTACAAATCCCTGAAGTTTAGGGATGTGATATTTACTTTACAAATCTGTTAACTTATTTCCTATCTAAAATTGCTTCTTTTAATTTGAGATAACACCAAGATGTTATTTTGGTGTAGGGCAGAAAAATATCTATTCTAAACAAATTTTTTCAACTTGCAAAATAACCACTTAATTGTATTGTAATTTTTTTATAAAAATAGCGTTTTGTAAGTGTTGGTATTTAATATCAGTTTGTGATTTGCAGTATGGTGGTATATCTCCATCAAACACATTTTCAGTGGTCCAGTATTTATTTTTAATTCATCTTATCCTTTCAAGTATTTGGCCTAATGATATTTTCGTCGCACATGTTTTATTTATTTTTTTATTTTATTGAAGTTTCTTAATTTTTATTAATGTTTTATTATTATTTTTTTACTTATGTTTTTATAAGTTATTACTTCAGCATATTTGCCAATCTTATAGATTCCATTCTAACTTCAAGAGTTTGTATCTCAAAGGCCCCTGAATTCATAATGATTCTCAATCAAAAATATCTGGACATTCTATTCAGAATATTCACAAAGTTGAATATTATTGTAAAATAATTATTAAATAACTCATTCCCTAAATAATAATTAATAAGGAAATGATTAATCTTAACAATATTATCGAAGTTAAGAATAATAAAAAAGCATATTTAAATGTAGATGAATTTTTTATATTACTTTTTGTTGGATAAAAATGACAGCAGAATGTCAACAATACTTGGTTATTTCTGTAAATAACTGAAATTTTCATACAGATCTATGGTTTACATTTTGTGTTCTGTCCTGCAGATCTCTGTTTTTAATATTCAAAACTTTTCTTTTGAAGCTACTCTACTTAGCAGTAAGTTCTAGCTTATCTCTCTTCTGACACTATAACAAATGGCTGCTGCTGATTTATTATTGATATATATATATATTTACTCCATGGCGCTACAGGTCTGTGTGATTCTTGGCCTCATATATCTATACATATATTGAGGTGTTCGAATGACACCTTTTTCTCTAGACGGTGTTACTATGGATTTATATAAATCATAGTTGTCAGCTTTTGTTTTACAAAACTGAAATGTCATTGATAGTTCAGGCTGATAAATGATTTAGCAACCTACAAAGCTACCTTAGATAGTAATTCACGTCATTCATTTCCACAATTCTTAGCTTCAATTTCAGTTAAATTCCTACTTCACATTGTTGAATATATCCCTTAATTATTGATAAGTATGAAATATTATTCACATATAGTAGACTGCAATAAAAATTATTGCATAACAGTTGATAATAGGTTTGTCATGTATTAATAACGTCATTCCAAACCTATTTGTATTGTTGAATATGAATTAGGAAATGTCACAAACTAGTATTTTTATTTTAGAAAAATTTTAGTACAACAGAAAGTTTTCTTGTTGATAATATTAGATTAATTAATAGGTAATGTTGTCAAATTGTATTATTGATTTAACTAAGATGGAATTAATATTTAAAAGTTGTTTAAGTTATGATTTAATCAGCTATTGACTGAAATTCTGAGGAAATTATTAGACTCCGTCTTCAACTCTATTAATTTATTTTTGATAATTTATATTTAGAACTTCGAATTTATCTGATCTTGGCAAATTGACAGATTTAAAATTACTTAATATAATGACCTAAGTGGCGAAATGTTCATATTAAATTATATTTCCATGCACAAAATTAATGAGCTTTCATTAATTAAATCCAATGTTAAGTAGGTAAGAGATGTACACAGAATCTCATACATTGAACTTTCAATCTGGATCATTGATTATGTTTTTGTACTACATGATAAATTATTAATAAATCACAATGGTTTTTTTATTTAAAAGAAATGTTTATTTTTAAAAGATTATATGGGTTTTTGTTTGTTTTTTTGAGAAGAGGAGAAGAAGCTAAAAAAACATCTGGGTTTTATAGGGGAGCTGGCTAATTGGAGAGAAATGATTGCACGCTTGCGCGCCCTCACATGCACACACACTCAGAGTCAGTCAGACGCAAACGATCCGGTCGTCCCCTCTCTCACGCGTGTCAGTGTGTGCGCTTCTCTCTGTTACTCGATAGAAAGCCAATAAGCCCTACGACGCACCTGACACAAGAGAACTTCTCTCTCTTCTAGCTCTCACTCCTTCTGCTACTCAGAGCCTCCTCTCCGTGTGTTGTCTTCTTCTTCTTCTTCTTCTCAGAAGTCTTCGATTAGAAAATGAGAACAGAACTCCCACAGCTACAATAAGCTTCTTTTTTTTACTTCACCTTTTTCCATGCTTTCTCTGTATAAATGAAAATATATATTATTTTCACCATTTTTTAATTGAAGGTTGATTCAAATTCTAGTTGTAGAAAATAAATGACCTTGATATGAAATTAAATTTCCGTGCATTTTGAAATTTTTTTTTTAATTTTAGAACTGTCATGGATCCATGGTATGGTATGATCCATATTTCTTAACCATTGCTCCGACATTGCAATGACCTAATATTTCTAATTGGGTTTGCTTTTGTAGTGTAAAATTTTTAAATGAGTGTTGTATTCAAAATTATGTACACGAAAATACTTAATCTCAGTATCTTATTATTGGTTTCAGATCTATTTTTTATTTAAAGCATGAATTCATTTTTGTATTTCATAAAGGTTTAGTTGTTTAAAAAAAAAAACTGCCTATGGCAAAATTAAGGTAACTCTCACTTAATCAGTAGATAATTAAGGTGATTGATTCTTATTTTCTGTTTAATTAGTCAGTAATTTCCTGTAATTTAAAAAACAGCCCGATATATAAGTTATGATCTGAGATCTATGAAGATTTCCTCTTAGTCCCGTTTCGAGATATCTTAAGAAATCATCAAGAATCTTAAGCCGATTAAAAACTTTTTTCTGAATCTAAATCGTGAGTTAGCATGGAGGGTGGGGTAAAAATTAAAATGACCACCACACGAGAGGTGAATAATGTGACATCGTAGTTTTCTTAAACATGATAGCTCTCTTCCTCTGTTATACACAATAATGATGTGAGTTTTATTTTTTTATTGACCAATAATTACCAACTGTTAGAAATCAAATCAAGTACAAAATACTGATATTCTTCATTACCCCTATTTAGTTATATTTGATTAGATTTAATTTATCCTTCTCATACTTTCATTGTATTGGTGAAGAATACCTGATGTCATTAATATAAATTTAGGTATCGTTTCTCATGTTTTTATCGTACTTTTGTTCATCCATTTTTCCAAAATATTTTATTTATCATAATTATTATTTTTTTACAAAGAAATTTTCTTAAGTATTTGATAGATTTTGACTTGAAAAAAAAATTACCATTTTTCTAGCTCATTTACCATAAAATTTGTTAAACTATTCAACCCAAGGTAATGGCTAATTCTAGAGTTGAACAAAATTAATTTCACACTCATTTACTCTAATGGGAGCATTTATAGGTAGGAAATGTTTTTGTCTTGTTTATTTTTAATGTTTTCCTTTTTAATAATGTAGCAGATGACAGAAAGGTTTATTTTAAATTTTTATTTATTTATATTTTTATATATAGTTTAAACTAATGTTTTTCAATCAACTTACATTCTCCCACTTGACCCATGAGACATATTTTTAGAACTTAGATTGTGTGTTCTATCTGTAGTAAGGAAAGTATGGTAAGTGTTAAAAGAAATAAAAAGTTTTTGTTCTTCCTTTTCTATGACTTAATGTTCCAAGCAGAAAGAACTGTTTTCTTGATTTTATCTGTACTGCTCAACGAAATCCCTGATAAAGACCTACAACGCAGGTTGGAACTTGGGCTTTCTATTATACATTACTCCAACGTGTTATTTGTGTCACTGTTAACCACACTCACCTATTAACTTCTATTTATTTATTATTATTATTTTAATATTTTTAGGTCTTCATCTTTCCTAAATTTCTATATTCCAATTAATAATGAATTATTTCATAAATTAATAAAACACTTTCTAAAAAAAATTATTTTTTTTATCGGTTTTGTGGTTTCTTTCTTATAGTTGAATTAGGTTTCTCTACTCTGTTATCCTACATATAACAAAGTTATTTGAGCCATATTAGGAAATACCATATGATATATATCTCATCCAGTCCAGGCTGGAATTGAACCCTCAAAGTTTAACATACTTAGCCATCATGACTGACTTATAGATGCTTCCTTAGAAATTAATTTTAAGTAATCATTAAATAAGAAGTTTGTGATTATTTTGTTTTTTCATAGCTTGTCCAAGATATCGACTTAGCTCTTCAATATACAAGAGTAATTAAAAAAATCTATGAATTGAATTTATTGTACATACATCAATGATACTAGCATTTCTTTCCAACTTAATCCGCTTCTACTTCTATACATTTAGTCTATCTTGTAACAGACATTTGAATTCCTTTCTGGAAGATTTTCGGCCTGGTCTTCATCAGATTGATAATGAATCCCTCGCAACTCTTTTAATGGACCATTTGTAGATCTTCCTTCCACTCAAACAACTCCATATTGCTGCTGCATTTGACAAGTAATCTCTGCTGGTTTCATACCTTCTCAATTAAAGAAATGTATCACTGCTTGTATTTCTTCCTTGGTACAATCAGACAAAAGGGAAATTGTGATCAGATATAAACACAATCACAAGTAGGAAAAAAATAATTAGCTGATAAATCTTATGAGTTGCATTACATGTGAATGTGATTCAGAGGAAAGAATGAAATTATTTCTTGACCTTTCATTATACATTATGCATGATAGAAGAATCTGAGTTTGTTAAAAATAAGTTTTGTTCAAGGGACGGAGACAGTGGTTCCAGTTTAGGGAGCAATCGAATGGCTTCACACCAAAGATGGATATCTGTCATTTTCCGAAAGTAGAGAAAGACCCAATTTTTATTTTATTATATTTGGTTTAAATTGAAGCTATCTCACAAAAATTGGCTTTTTAAAAACGATATATGTTAATCTTGGCCTGAGGTCACTCCATTTATTACAAGTCACTTTCCACTTGTTTTTCATCACTGAGATTAAAATGTGAATTGTGTTGAAAGTTGCTGTTTTTATAACCTTTTTTTTTCTCTCAGCTCAAAGTGATGGTCTTAAAGTAAAAATCACATATCAATAGTTGATAAATATTATTTTTTAACTAGTTTCCTGTATATCAGTGTATTTGATATATAAAAAATTTTTTTTGTTAGTCTTGGTCTTTTATTATTTTATACTACAACAGTTATAGAAATTAATTATGATTTTTATTTTATGTTTTATTAAGTAATTCAGTTTCTGTCATCTGTTATAAAATATAAATTGAAATAAATGGCAATGAAGCCATCTGCAGCGAAGTGGAGAGTAATTTATTGATGATAAAAGTGAAAGAGGATAATAAATGCCCCTTGATATCTTTTATTAAATTGTTTGTTTTGATTCCTCCTGACAGGTCATACAGTAGGAGCAGGTCTCGCTCTAGGTCTCGTGACCGTAGGACCAGATCAAGGACTCATTCACGATCTAGGTCGAGGGACAGGAGATCTCGATCCAGGTCGAACTCGAGGTCCAGAAGCAGGTATGTTTAAACATTTTTTCCATGTCATTATACTGTATATATCACACGAATAAGATGAATTTCATCTTTCAAATCCACTATATCAATTTTTTTTTTTTTAATTGTCCTATAATTAAATCAACATTAACTTACAAATTCCACTACTAGCCTATTTTCTGGTCATCCCCTTAAACCGATATGTCGGCTTCTTTCACATTAAATTTATTTGTATTGCTAATAACTGTGTCAATCATTCGTCAAGGGATCAACATAAACAAAAATTTGATCAAAGAACGATATATCACCCTTACGACCTTTTTTTTTTATTGAGATTGGTATACTTTTGCCATTTCGTTTTTTATTTTAGAGATGAGTAATTAGTCGAATGATCAATTACCAGAATGAAACTAAATTGTCAGGATTTACAGTCAAGATTTTTTTTTTAGTTGGCCTAGTAAAAATTCTTGACTATAAATCCTTATAATTTTGTATATCATTTTTTTAATCTCATTAATGTCGTTTTGGTTCTTCTGTTCCCCTTATTTGAGTAAGTACCGATATTCCAAAGACTGAAATATCAGCCTCAGTTCCTTATTTTATATAAGGACAATCTTGTTTAACTATGTTTTTTAGTGTTTTTTTTTTTCTTTAATTACAAATTTTATTTGTCCTATAGGACCAATATATCAACCTTACGACCCGAGATTATCATGATTCATAGGGTTTCCTGCTGAATATTATTTATATTGCTAATAAATGTGTCAATCAGTTGCCAAGGAATCAGCATAAACATAAATTTGAGAAGATACTGATATTATAAAATACTATATATCGGTCGGATGGCTTTTTATCGTGATTACATCAGTTTTACCACTTTCTTTATTATTTTTCTTTTGTCCTTCACTTCTTCTCATTTGAGCAGATAGCGATATTTCCAAACCTTATTTTATCGACCTTACAACCTTATTTTATCAAGATTGGTAGAGTTTGAAGTCTTTTATTTTATTATTATTATATATATTTTTTGTCCTCTTTCTCAAATTTGAGTAGATAATGAAATTCCGGCTCTATGACCTTACCAATATATCGCCCTTTAGAACTTTTTTATTTTGATTAGTAATAAAAACAATATTTTATATGAAATTCTTTGAATCTCGATAAAACATGGTTGTGATGTGTCATTCTTTGCTCAATTTTATGTTTATTTCATTCTCTTGATGACTAATTTCTCATCTCTATGATAAAAAACAAAACTCCACCAATCTCAATAAAAAAAAGTCTTAAGGCCAATATATCTGTCTTAAATCAAATGTTTGTTTATGTCGATTGATTGACACATTCATTCATAAAAGAAAAAATATTACTAATTAAAATTTATGAATATCGATAAAATAAGGTCGTAAGGAGGATATATTGGTCTTGAGAATATTTATTTAAGTTCAAATTTTTGGGAAGAGGATAAAAAAAAAGTGTATATATATATATTGATTAAAGGATATTTCTATCGGCTGAAATGTATATATAGATCTAACCCTAGATGATTGATAAATACTTCCATTCAATTATTACAAGAAATTTTTATGCAACGTACAGAACTAAAGGCCAAAATGCTGAAACATAGGTTTATCTCTCTTTTGTCGTCAAAATTTGTGTATAAGGTGATTTATAGATGGCCTAGCAATTAGTAGGATATTCCATGTGAAACTGTACAAATCTTAAAGGAAGGGGGGAGGAAGCCGATATGGTCAATTATTAATATCGATCAATTTCTAGTTTTGATATTACAATTGAAATAAGAAATATAGTTTTCTCACTATCTAAAAATTTTGTCAATGGTGATGGTAGAAATTAACAACTCATTGTGAAATTTATGGGTGTTAGAATTCATGCTCTTTCGTACCCATTTCAGGGTTTGTGATTTACAAAAGATTTTTGCAACATTAGTATTATGTTCATTAACTGCCAATTTCGTAGAGAGTATTTTATTATAATTCATGCCCATGTCTTTGTTAAGGAAAGGTCTATGAAATTCAGTAGGGCTAATTTTAATTAATTCTTCTATATTCAACATTTCTTTCTTATATTCATTTTTTTTTTTTTTTTTTCAGGGGCTCCTTTGACAGAAATGGCAATTAATGATAAAGAAGTGGACTAATTTTATTGTTCTATGAAAATTTTGACTGCTTTTTACTTTAAGTTACTTTACCCTCTAGTTGATAGAAATTTTTAAGACAATTTATTATTTGAGCCTTAGAGTGCATTTGTCAAGTAATGTCTTTATGAATGTATTCCAAATGCATTTAGTTTTCATAAATTCATTGATAACTATATTGACTAAATTGGTTTGAAATAAATATGATCCCTTTTACTGTGTTTTTTCTGAGAAATAATCAACCAATTTATATTGTATGTATCTAAAGAAATGACTTTGTATTAGTTTAGGTTAGATGATGATTCTGTTTGAATTTCTTGTAGACGTAACTTTGTGAAATGTGTATATTTATGCTTTAGGTACTCTCTTTTGTAAAAATTTAAGAAAAATGTGACTATGTATTATTTCCTTTTTCATTTGAACCATGAAAATTCTTTTTTTTTTTTTTTGTAACTAATAAAGTTCAGTTTATCTCCTTACTTTGCGACTGACTTTTATTTAAACATCATTTATACCTTGACATTATTACGTATTATATTATCATATTTCTGTATTTATCCATTAGATTTAGAGGATAGTAGGGTCATACTTAAATCATTTGACTTATTAGCATTTCTGGATCTATCAATTTAGGCTAAACAAAAAATCAACTTTTTGAAGAAAGGTTGATCTCAAATAAATAGAGTAAAATAAATTAATTTTTTTTATTGGAAATTTCCTCAGAATGTTACTGTGCAAAGAAAAGGCTGTATGGAGTAAAATGATGGTTTTCATCTTCGAGCTTAGAAACCCACTCAGAATGATACAAGTTTCTAAAATTGATAAATATAATCTAGAATAATACAACATACTGGTTTATATGTAAATTGATTTAAATCAGTTAATCTTTAAAATTCTTTATGAAACTGTTCACTGTTACATTCGTGAAATGTACTGTAGATTTGTAGAAAATAAGTCTTGTTAAAGAAACGTTTTTATTAAAAGTACAAATCTTTTCTAAAGTTTCTGAGGCTTTCTGTGGTTTCTTGAAAACATATAAGTAGTCCCTTAAATTGAAAATACTCAAGTCGAAAGGCAGTGGTGTAATCTTAAAGCAGAAATCATTTTCAAAAACTTTGGCTCCGAAAATATATACCCTTTTATCGAAAAAGTATCAAAAGCACCATGCGCAATCTTAAATCCATCAGTATTTTCCTCATTACGTATTAGTGGACCTATATATAGAAGAAATCCCAAAAGTATCATGAACATGGATGCACAATCGTGAATCCGACAGTATTTTCAGGAAATAAAAAGCGTCCCCGACAACATAATAGTTGACCCTTATCTAAAAAGTCCTTAGAAGTTACAAACAAAATTATTTTTATCTTAAATAATGATTAATAGATAATGCAGGCTGTCTGTAAATAACTAATAATTATCTGTCTAAAGGTCATGAAATAAGAATGACGAATTCAAATTTATCTACCAATAGTTATCTATATAAAATTTTGCATAATCCCCAATACTGGCTCACTAGCTTCTAGGTGCTCTTGTTTCTATGTGGAAGTGGTATTGCCTCACTACCCCAATAAAAATGTTGAGAGGGCGAGAATATCTTTTTACTCCCCCATGATTTGAATTAAAAAAATTAAAGAGAAGAATGTTACGGGTACCCAGTCAAAAAAGTAAAACTTAATAAGTACATTTATTTTTATTTTTGCTGATGTCCAAAATTCAGAACTTCATCAGGGCTAAGAAAAAAACAGATAACGGTTGATATGAGACACTATAAACATTAAATAATAAAAAATAATTAATATGTACGTGAAAGGTATTTTCTTTAGAAATATAAGTAAAATAATAACAGTAACAAAGAACTATGAAATAAATAATAATGGCAACTAAGTAGGGACTTATGAAATAAATATAATCAAAGTAAGGTAACATAAGAAATGAATTAACAACAAAAATAATGGAATGTAAGTGTAGACAAAAAATGGTGTGACAGTACAGTGCTAAAATATGATTTAATAGTATGCTAAAAGGAAGTGAGATCATAGAATAAAAAGTAAAAACAGAGAAAAAGAATATGAAGTTAAATAAGGAAATAATAGATTTAAATAGCAATTTGAGATACTGTAAAATATATCAAAACATACTGACTACGTAAAAGTTACAATAATGTAAATAAGCTGTAATGAGCAAATGTATCAATATACACTAAATAGAGGTGGAGATATGGAAAAGAAATTAAAGGGATGAAGGAGAAAATTAAGACAAGAGAGATAGACCTGGTCAAACAAAAGGATTCCGCAAGACGAACATTGTTTTCTTAGCCCTGATGAAGGCCTGAACTTTGAGCCGAAATGTCGGCAAAAATAAAAATAGGTATACTTATTTATTTTCCCTTTTCTTCTTTTTTTGGCTGATCACCCCAACCATTCTCCTCTTCAATTCACTATAGTCAACCATCAATCCATAATTTAAAAAAATTAAAATTCATAATAAATAAGCAAGCTACATGGATGAATAAAATGTGTTAACTAAAATAGATTATGAAAAGTTTTCTTGTTGGCTAGGCTAGTGTGTAACTATTTTATTGATACCCAAATATTACTTTTATTTAAATTGTAATTTATATTCAAAGATAATAATGTATCTTAGAATTTTAATTTTCAATCACCTCTCCATTTTCACGTAATGTTCTTATCCCATTTTTTACAGCAAACTAGTTAGACTGTGAAAAACATATTTTTATCTGAGGTTGTGAACACTAAGAAATCAAAAATTTTTTACATTATTCATTTTTAGCTTAAAAAGTTCTAGAAACGTACCAATGTTATGAAGGCTATATCTCCTCCTGGATGTTAAATCTAAACAAATATGTTATATATTCAATTGTATTTTTTTAAAGATATTTTCAAGTATATATTATAAGTAAAAAAAAAATCCATATAAACAAATAAATTTTGAATATTCAATATTATATTTTGTTCATTTCACAATAATTGAATTTTCACACATAGTAAAAACTCTCGCCTATTTTTTTTTTTGTCCACCACTTCTCCCCCCAATCAAAATTGAAAGTCTGCTCATATGACCACGTTGTACTCTTCTGCCCTGTGTAGGCATAAGTGGTTCTGGTTCTCTGTCAGGACATAGATTACTGGCTTCCTCCTGTGTTTCTTACACACTGTCAATATAGGTCGTTACAAGGTGCTCGGAAGTTTTCGAGTGCTCTCCAAGGTCCCAAATATACCATAGTAATAAAAAATATAAAATAGTGTTCTTAGGGGTTCCTAAATATACTTTAGAAAAAATAAAACAATTAAATTGGAGCCTAACATTGGACAGTACTGGAGAAATATAATATAATAATTTTTTGTTGTATGTTTTCTGCAAACATACTACAGAAATATAAAAATAAAAAGCAATTATTTTAGAGGCCAAACATACAGTATAAATACAAAAAATGATTTTCTGTGCTTTCCTAGGGGCCCTTCCAATCATTCTATAGTAGTATAAAAACCAAAACAACTATCTTTAAGATCGACTAGAGAGGCTCTATTAGATATTAAAAAAATACCAAACAATTATTTTTGGGAACTAATATACTACTGTACAAAACATCAATTTTGGGAGCCCTCAAATTATTATTATTGGTAAAAAGTACAAAACAATTATTTTTGAGACTCAATACAACATGGAACTAGTAAAATATAAGACAATGATTTTCAGGACCTACTCTAGGGGCTCTTGGCAGTTGTGACCTGTTTGACTTGGTCCGCTTCGATACAAAAATAGCTATTTTTACTCAAAGTAGGATGTTAAGTGAAAGTTGTATGAGGCACACAGCATACCAGATTTTTTTGTGACAATAAAATAAAATGGATATTCTTTAGTAAGGTAAATAATGTACGAGTAATAGACACTTAAAGAGAATTTTTCAACATTAATGTGAACTACAGCTTTAGTTCTGATGGTGGATCTTCAAATGGATTTAATTTAAAGCAAATTTAGTCTTTTGTCGAAATATGTGCACTAGATGGGCTGCGTGTATCACTTTTCATATAAAAATTGAAAATTTTGTACCAGTAATAGAATACCTAAAATGTTCGAAGATCTAGTAATAGGCACTCTTGTACCAGATCTAGATATGCTCTTTTTTATAGGAAAAAATTATAGCAATAACTAAAATACAATTATAACATTAAAGAAATATAAATATATTTAATAACAGGCCAATAGGATATTATAGGTATTACAAACTATAATACTTTTGTCTTTTTTTTTTTAGAGTGGCCAAGCCTCTCTTTTTCTTCCAAATCTTTTTGAGGTTCTGGCCAGAAGAATGCTATTTGAATGGACTTGGTATAAATTTTGTATCTTTATTTATTATAAAAATTGTATGCAATTTTTTGTGATTGCATGGAGCTTACTTGTAAACATTAATATAAAGTGAATTAGATACACTTAACCAAGCACTGCAGAAGAATTTATAATTTTTATCCATGAATCAGACAGTCTGAGATGTCAAAAATTGTTGACAAAATGTATTTTCCTTTCTTTCTTTTATAATATGTTATCAAATATTTTATTGAAATAAATAAAATCAATAAATTGAAAATGATTTCCTTTTATTACTTGAGGTGTGGTAATATTACTTTTAATTATGAAGAAAAAAGTCCCCACAGTGAAATGAGTTGAACAAAATTTTATTCCTTGGTTAACAGCCTAACATATACTAACCAATCAATGAAATATTTAAAAAAATGAAATAAAACTAATGAAATGATACAGTATTACACATGGGTGTCTATTACTAGTTCTACTAATTACTAGTCTATTAATATTCTAAACAAAATTGATAAGGCAGTCTATGCGACAAACACTAAATCTTGCTTCATTAAAAAATTAACTGCCAAGCAGCCATTAGAGCATGAAATAAGCTTTTGTTTAGATATCATCTTTCTGAGTGTCAGCTGAAAATCTATTTGTACTTAAAATCTCTAAAGTGTGCAAAAAGCTCATAAACCATTCATGAATTTAAAAGCGACTATTACTGGTACAGTCAATTTCTTTTTTTCAAACTTATTTGTTACTATATTAAAGTTTGACAAAATTGAAGTACTGGTACTTGTGGGAGAACTATTCCAGCAGGTGGGTCTTGTCCTTTTTGCCAACACCAGATGGATATCTGCAATGGGTGGTTTCAGTAGGTTGACGGCTAGTACTAACCAATAACTAAAGTGGGAGTGTTAAGATACATTTCCAGAGACCGCCATAAAATAAATATTAACCGACTTAGGTGGGAATTGAACATAGTACTTCAGAACCAATGTGCTGGCAATGACATCTTTAAAATTGGAGCAATACAAGGATAATTTTAAGCAGGCGTAAAGTAAAAAAAATATATCGAATGATTTTTATTTTATTAAAGCTTAATTGTTTTACTATTACTTAGCATTGTAATTTTAATTTATTGTTATATGATTTATTGATACTTTATTAAGCATACAACTAAATTGTTTAATATAAAATCATTACTTGTATAATTTGTATTTGTAGCGCTAGGAAAGCGCTCAACTACTCAGTTCAGAGATTGTTTGAGGTTTTCCAAGTTAGGACATATCCTAGCATGGGGCATACCCTGTGCTAATCCATCCACTCCAGTTCGGAGTGGCTGAGTTAGCTAACCCAAAGCTGATAATCTAGTGGGTTCAGATCAGAACTTCCTGAGGCCCAATCCGAGGCAGACCTGAACTCTGGAATGTTCTTTTGCATCCACTGCTGAGTTGATCTGGCCTTGTGAACTGGAGCGGAATCCTGCTGGAAAGCCCAATGACTTCCAGCAAACAGAGTATCATTTAGAGGCTTGACAACAGGTTCCAAAATATCGTCCTGATAGTTTTTAGCGGCTGTTTTAACTCCTTTTTCAAAATGGAGCTTTGTGGTGCTTTCAAAGCAAACTACCCACCAAACCATCACTGAGGAAGGGTGATGACCTCTTTCCATTCTTCCAATGACATCCTGTGCTTCTTTAGAGCTGTGTGGGTTCACATGATCATTTTGGCGATTAAATTTTTCTTCAATTGTAAACATTTTCTCATCACTAAACAAAATCTTTCAATAAAGACCATTGGTGTAACGGCCAAGGAAAACTTTGCATCTACCCACTCTAATTATTCTTGGGGAAGTGGTTAGCCTTTGTCCTCTCATTCTCCAAAATACACCCATTCTAAGGTTAATTTTTATTATATGAGACATTGATCTGACAGATTCCCATTTCCCGAGACATGGTTTGTTTTTTTCGAATGAGATTTCTCCTGATTCGAGCAGCCACTGCTCTCACTGCATTTGACGTTCTCACAGTGCGAGGACCGTCCGGTCGAGGTCTGTCACATACAGTCTCATTATATATATTTATAGTGCGGTACAGAAACATATGGCTGAAACCCAAAGATTTCTGTGTTTAAAATCTCTGAACTACATTTTCCAACTTTGTGTAAGGCGATCACAGCTATTTGGTTTTCTTTATCACCCTACTCCATGTTAACTGAGCTAAAGAAAAATACAAATTAATTGGGATTATTATCCTGATATGTAAAGAAAATAACCTGATAGAGGTAAGGATTATCTAAATACCCTAATAGGCAACTGAAATTGCGTATTTCTAGGTTTGTATATGCTCAGGATGTTATAGCCACTTTTTCGTTAAAATCAGCAAACCAGAAGTGGCACTTTATTTAATATATTTTTATCATTTTCTCAAAATTTGCTTTTTACAATTTTGAGTAAACTCATTATGCTAAAATGTACAATTAAGTGTTTTTTGTAATATAACGTAGGTTTTATCCTCCTTGATCAATTGGGTGTCTCAATTTAGAGCAATAGCCGAGCTTAATGCCTTTGCAGAAGAGCTTTCTGTTCACCACACAAACGGACTTCTTTGATACAAATACGATATCCAGCAAAAAGCACACAATTTTTCTCAGCCGACATACTAAGAGCTCTAAACTCAACTAACTATCCATTATACATGATACTATGCAGTTACAATGCTCCCGATCCCGAAACATACCTTACATTCAAAGCCCATATAATGAAATTGAGATGTGTTAGTCAATTAAGAGTTGCAAACCCAGAACAATCAGAATCTATGCAAAAACCACAACTTTTTCGATTGAGTCTCAAGAAACTTGTATATCATGCAGTCAATTTATCTATAATAACCTACATCATATTCTCCTTCACTGCCCAGCGTAGAATGACTATAGACAAAAATTCCTTCAAAACTTCATCTCAGAATCTTCGGATAACCACAACATCGAAACTATATTGAATATCGATTGTATAGATAAGTTAAATAAAGTTTACTATTATATGATGAGAGTAGACAAAGTGCATACACAAAATTGTTGATTATAGCCCATGTTCAATTAAGTTTGTTTTTAGTTTATCTTAAAAGTAATATTTTGTTTATATATATAAATATTTTTATTTTTTATTATTTCTACCATAGTATCAGGTACATATAACTATTATTATGCAGTAATCATTTTTTGTTTTTAATTTCTATTAATCATGTTTTGTAAAACCCATTCTACACGTAAAAATATTGTAAATTTTATTTATTTTTAAATGATATGTATATGACACAATAGCCAAGCTAGGCTCTATTTGTATGGGGAACCCCCCCAAAAAATAAATAAATTTCTATCTATGTATCTATCCTCCTCGATGTTCTTCAACATGGAATAAATGTAGTTTTTTCAAAACTTCCTTTTAAAGTACCTTTAATTTTGTTTGTTTAAAAAAAATAACTATTTCACAATTCAGATAATGAATAAAAATGGTTAAATATAAACAGTGTGAAAAATTTATCATGAACTAAAGAAGAAATAAGAGATGGTATCAAGGGATTGATAATTGAAACTCATGCTTGCTCTTGGCAATAGGACAATAACGAGGAGCCGAGGAAACCCAAGGTTGCTCTCAAGCTTGGTGGACTGGTTCCGATTACATTATTAACTTATACAGGTACAGCTTCCATAAATGCTAGTGTTGCTATTATTTAATATTTAAATGTATAGATTACAACAAACAAAAAATATACTCACAATGAAACGTAAATGAATATCTAATTGACCTCCTTACGGACACTCTAGTCAGAGTAAAAAATATTCGTGGCACTTAATTATTTATTATAATCAAATAAATAATTGAAATATACAGTTGTAAAAGGAAATGGTTAGTGATGAAAAATGCATAAATTTAATATATATATATATATATATATATATATATATATATATAATATATATATATATATATATATTATATATATATTAGATGAGAAAAATATATAGTAATTAATTGCTTCAAGTAATATATTGTACCATCTATGATGATCTTTACTTGCAGTTGGTACCATCTTAATATTTTAATAGTAATATTACTTTATTACGGGTGCTAATGACTTAGATGTTATAAGTCCAGAACATCAAATGATGAAAGAACAATTTTTACTTCCAAGTAGAGTGGCAAGTGAAAGCTGTCTGTCTTGCTTCACCTCAAAAGATTTTTTTGTTAATTTTCTTTGTGTTTATCGTTAATATCTTTTTCATAATCTAAATATCTGAAATAATTTTAATAAATATTTATTTCTCTTAGTTCTTGACTTAATTTTTTTTTTTTCAATTACTCTCTCTCTCCCCATTTCTGACAAACAGGGAGTTGGGAGTCATTCTAGAGGTACAAACAAACCACTAGGATTCGAGCTGGTGTCACTAGACTCAAGAATAATAAAGTTTACGTCATCATGGCCTCACTTTCTTATTACTTGACTATTGATTACTGAAAGTTGGTCTTTGTTTTTTTTGTTTTTTAACATTTCTCATTATTTGTTTCATTATTCAATATATGCTTTTGTCTATTCTCTGTTCAATATATTTTTTTCATAGTAACAACTCCATCTCTTATATAGTGCATTCATTATTAAATTGATCCATAGTTTATTGAATGGAAGAAAAAATAGGTTTAGAGTAAAATAAAACTATTTTTTAACATTAAATATTTATTATTTACAACTGTAACAAATATAATGGAAATCAAAAAATATCTGTACATGACAAGGAGCCATAAAGAATTCAACAATATATTTCCAGCTTCATCGAATAACAAAGCATCTTATATAACAGTAAATACAATATAGAAATACTTTTTAACAACCAATATAAAGTTATAATGGCCTATTAAGCAGTCCTTATCTTAGAATTTTCCTCAACTCGATGTGCCACATCTCATAAAACTTCTCTACTAAATACACAACAGGACAGTTTCTATCACATAAAATATACATAAAATCACCTGTTTGGCATAAAGGAAGAAATTTTATTTTCGAAAATTAAATTAAATGGTTACATATATACAATTAAATACAATAAAAGATTTTTTTTATTTACAAAAAGAAATAAATCTGTACACAGTTTACAAATTTAATTATTACAATTAATACTAAAATAAATATTACAACAAAATTTGATTTCAATAATACAAAATAAAAAAAATGCAATTACTATGTATAGTTACAGTTATAATTGCTATCACCATTAATTATGATTAGAAATCTAAAAATATGGAAATTATTTCCTACTTACATATTCATAATTATTTATCTTATTTACACTCTTTATCTTCTATACCATTGAGGAGTATTATAAAGTATTTTCTTCTTCTTTTCTTTTTAAGAAAAACTACTTAGTATACTGATATTAAGTACAAAGAAGATAGATTGTTAATGTTAAGTACTTAACAATTGCACTCGAGCTCTTTTATTGGTTATTTCTAACAATTAATACATAAATATAATAATTACTGATGATATTTAATTAAGTATGTATGTAATAATATGTCGAGAGAGGCTAATGGACAGAATTTATATCTTTAAGAATAAATAAAAAAACGGGATGAAAACCCAGAAGTGAGTCAGCGGATATTTAAAAATGTAACTAGTTATTAAATTGTATGACAGCCCTATTTGCTTCACCAACCATTTTGCTGATGCATTAACAATTCATTTCAATTTTATTTTATAAACAATGATAGTTTCCATTTCTTATCAATAGAATAAAAAATATATATATATTTAATTCAATATATATCTTCTTTAAAAATTATTACTATCATAATATATTAAGTTTATTTTATAATATATTATTTATTAATAATATATATATAAAATATTAAATTTTAATGTCTACTGGGATAAATTATAATCAATGAAAAATCAATAAAAGGTACTTTTAAAAATTAAACAATAATTCAATATTTTTTAGACAATCGACAGTATGATATTTGTTTGAATTTAAGGACAGGCAATTTTATAATAAAAGCATAAAATGCTAAAATTTATAATTAATACAAGCTTTAATGCATTAGCCTCAGAAATGGTTGTGGTTAAAATATATATATATATATATATATATATATATATATATATATATATATATATATATATATATATATATATATTTATCTCTACTAATGCAATCAGGGAATATACATCAGAAAGCATAACTATACTTCTAATAATAGGAAATGTATATATATATATATGATTAGTTAACCATTTATTTAGCAAAGCTAAATTGTTTAAAATTTTAGATTAAGAAAAATAATACTTGTCTTCTGAATGCTTAATCACAAATATGCTTTTAATGTCACTATCCATAAATATTATAACCTTAGTCAAATTAACATATCAGTATTTTATATTATTCTCTATATATACTCGCTACGTTATTATTCAGTACATTGTTCTACTATCAACAATGTTGTGGAATGATATTTAATTTTATTATTATTATTTAAAGAGTTGATCTTATCATGGCTAGCCATTGAACTAGTTTATACGAAGGACAAACTTTCATCATAAAATCTCAATTTTGGTAATACACAATCATTATAAACTGTCTTCTGCTACCTTCAAAGCATTCCAACTAAAAGAACAAACAAAAGAAAAAGAAAATAAAAAAAACTCTTGAGCATTGTCCGATGATTTTTTTTTTAATTTATAATTTTATCCTTCTTCCTCTACAATTATCTAATTATTCACATTATATTCTTCTATACTTTAGTAAGAAAACAATAAAATTTTGTTATGAACAAATTAATTTTAAAAATGTTTTATTTAATTATTTCAGTACTAACATCTATTTATTAGTATACTAGTATTGATTGATAAATCTGAACAGAAAATGATCTTCAACATTTAAAAAAATTAATAATGAAGGTAAACAAAATAAGCTTTCTAAAATAAAAAAAATAAAAAAGAGAAACAACATAGTCAATATCTATTATCATCGGAATAAAGTTAATTATTATGAACGATATATTATTAATTTTACTTGTTTGTAAGTTAGAAATATTTCTTTATAATGAATACAGCAGCAGATAAAAATCATAAGTTTTACTATAGCTACTAGGTAGGAGTTTCACTGTATTAAAATTGAACTAATGAAGTTATAATAACTAGATAAAATTTATCAATTATTTTGCTTAATCAACTGAAATGCCGAACAAAAAGAAACAATGATCATTAATTGGACTAAATAAAAAAAAATTATAAAAAATAAATAGCAAAATGTCTATGTATGAAAGACATCTCTATTTGAGTAATGATGATAAAGAGCGTGAGCCAGATATTAAATTTAACATCTTAAGTATTTTATTAGAAAAAAAGTTTATGTTTATTCTTAATATTTTCACAACAGTTGCCATATTTTGAAACTAATTGAACTTTAACAAGTAATTTATGATTAAAATTTTAAAGAATTTTAGAAAAAAGTTAGAAACTTTTTATTTTCAATTAATCAGCACAATTAAAACTATGCACGAACAACATAAAAATATAGGAAACATAACATCAAATTTTAAGTAGAAAAAGTTTTTAATAAATAAAAACAAAACCTTTTTATTATATAATTTAAAAACTTAATAGTTTTATCATTTAAAAAATAGATAATTAAGAGAAGAAACCATAACAAATACCCAGAAAATTTTTCTATTATTAATTGATCAAGAGTAGTAATTATGTATGAAGCCTTTCATAAGACATCTACTGACCTAAGTAGTAAAACAAGCATCTCTCATTTTTTTTTTTTTCACCGAAATAAAAATTATACCTATGAATCACATTACAACTGTATTCCTGATTTTATTATGATTAAGAATAACATTATTAAAAAACAATAAATAATTAGCAAACTATAAAACTGATGATAAATGCAAATAAAAAAAAACTAAAATATCTTTATTAAAGAACTGTTTCCACAATAGCCTCTAATGGTTGAATCATCACAGAAATCAAAATTGCACAATATCACCTGGCTTGGAACACAATACAAAGATTAATTGGGATAAGTAGAAATTTAATCATTAGGAGTTATCTTAATAAGTACTGTGAATAAGTAAGGATGATTTTATAAAAAACCACTGTAACATTCTGTCAAAAGATAAAAAAAAAAAAAATTCTTCATGTACCAATCACTTAATCATTATTCCTTTATTTCTGCTTTCTAAACCTCTCCCTCAGGAGCATCTCATTAGAGAACGTCAAATTAATAATCCAGCTGTCTAAAATATTCTCTATAGAATAGAAACACAACGGATTCGGGATAAAAACTGAAAACTGTTCCCGACCGGAGACAACACATATATAAAGCACAGGCCCTACGACGGTGGTGGATAGAGACCTTGCTCCATTTTGTGCTACATGTGCACCTCGAATGCCTTAACAGCGGCAGGGGTTGAAGTCAGGAAAGGATTTGTTGACACTTGTCCTGGGGGCGGTGTCCTCGAAACCCAGTCTGCATCGGCAAGGAAAGGATCTGCACCAAGTGAGTTAGCACGTGTTGGTCGTCCCACTCCAGCGGCCACCTTCCCCAACCACTGCTCCGGCCGGGGTAGCTCTCCTACCGCAGGGATCGGCGATGCTGACGGTGTTGCTGGTGGGGTTAAAACTTCACTCTTTCCATTTGTCTCGCTCAGTATTGGGCTTTCTGTGACAGATTAGTTACATAAGTAACATCAAATAACTAAAAAATGTCAGTCAAATAACTAAATAAATAAAACAGAAAAATCTCTAACTTGGGTAGAGGTATATGACAGACGGATACCAAGTGTGTAAATAAGAACCTAAAATTTGTCTATAGATAGCTCTAGTTGTTATTGTACATACCGTTAAATAGCATTATTGGAGCCATTTTGTTTCTCTGACAGCTGAAAAAGATTTCCAACAAATAACAATATAAGTTTCAAACAACAGCATCATTTTACTACTGAGTTTTGTGCCTAAAAACTATGACTAGCAGACAGTACTAGTTTTTTATTATCATTTAAAAAAAAACTGCTGCATAATCAGACTAAATGCTTTGCTTACGTTGAGCATACTCTTAGTAAATCACAGTGCTTTGAGTGGACTAAAAAATTCAAAAGTGACAATTTTGACATGTGGAATATCAGTAAAAATGTTTGAGGACAGTGAATTGGAAGCATTGTTGGATGAGGATGATGCTCAAACTCAAGAACAACTCGCAGATCATTTCAATTTAATACGAGAAGATGTCTCCATATGTATAAAAGCGATGCGAAAGAACTGGAAAAATGGGTTCCATGCGAACTGAAAGGAAGACAGTATGATAACTGGATAATTGAGATGCTACTCACCAGATACAAAAGAAAGTAATTTATCCATCGAATTGTGACAGGTTATGGATACATTTAGAGTTACAAAAGTGGATACATTTAGAGAATTCTAAATTTCAAAGATCATGGGCATTTCCAGGCAAACCACAGTATCCATTGTAAGGCCGTCACCATGGAAAGAACACAATACTCTTTGTATTGGAAGAGTATGATCTATTATGAGCTGCTAAAATGAGGCCGAAACGTTAATACAGAACACTATCAACAACAAATAATTGATCTGAATTGAGAATTTCATGAAAAACAACTAGAATATCAAAGGTATAACACAAAGTGATTTTGCTTCATGATAATGTACCATCACACACACATACCAAAACCAGCGCAGGAAACAACTGAGGTTTCAGTTAAGAAATATCAGGGCAGGTGGCTTACTCACTATACATGTCTCTGTCTGACTACAATTTATTTCCATCATTGGGACACCCATTTGCTCAGCAGTGCTTCACTTCTTATGAAACTGTACAGAAATGGCTTGTTGACTGGTTCACCACAAAACAGCAACAGTTTTTCTGGAATGGAATTCCTAAATTGCCAGAGAGGTGGGGGTTGTGTAGCTAGCAATAGACAATATTCCGAACATTTTTATCCAATAATACTTGTATACCAAAATTATTGTTTCATATTTACACACCTGATATATATTAAGGAAATTCTATCTAATCCGACTTTCTGTTAACATATTCTGAATATCAGACATCTTCATTTTTAAAAAAATTCCAAATTTTTTTTTTAACCAGTAACAAAATTTCTTATTAAAATAATTTTTAATATTATCATTTCAATTTTGTTCAACCAAGAACAGTTCCCTTCTCTCTGTAGCCTAATATTATGTTTACAGTATTCTTTAATGAAACAAAATATTTCTATTGTTTTTTCCCACCTCTAAAATATCTACTTTCTTTAAGTAATTTACTGTTTCTCTAAGAAATAATATTAATAATGACTGGTACAACAGGGGGTTGGATTTTTAAAAAAATAGATTCGGTAAAATAAAACTTATATTTTACTAAATATGGTAACAAGATAAAGATATACCTTGAAGAGTTGAGTTGTTATTCAATGGGAATAATTCTTTGGAGATATTGGATAGATTCTTGTTCCCTATATTCTGAAAAAAAAAAAAATAATAAAGATTATTGATGTGAAATAATAACTGAAAACACTATCACAATAATAAATCAATTACTTCTATCTAAAAATAAGAAATATTATCCCCATTAACTGGCACAGATTTTAAAATAAAATTGAGCTTACAAATTAGAAAAGGGAATGGAGTAGCTTAGTGGTAGAGCGCTGACCACTAATACATAAGGCTCCAGTTCAAATCCTGACTGATGGTAAATAAATTACTTGTTTTGTTTCATATGACATGGGTCAAATTACCTCTTTGCACAAGTATTGAACAAAAAAAGTACTTCCTTACCAAAGTACTCAACCCAAGATCATGGTTCTAGTGCCACAAGTTATTTTTTCTTTCTTTTAAAGTTGTGTCTCTTGTGGGTTAGGAATTCTGAGAATCCACAAAATGTCCCTGATCTTTCTCTTTAAAGCAACAGGTATCAACATTTTTTTTTTTGTCCACATTTGACATTTAATTGTATTGATGACATAAAAGAGCTTTTAATGGCCATTTCTTGAAAATAATTGTTCCTATTAATTAAGTTAATATGTTAGAATATCAAATAATAATTATAATTTTTCCCTAAAAGATTTGTAAGTTTGATAAATAGAAGTTAAAAATAAGAAATAATAATAATACTAATAGCTAGTGATTTAGGCTTACATTTGCAAATGGTAAAAGATCATCAGCGTTCGAGAGAAGTTTCAGCCCTTGCGATAACTGCTGACACATTGCACTAACAGGATCGGTTCGTTCAGCAAGTGGAGACGTTTCAGGAATAGGGCTCACTATAATAAACATAAATAATATAATCAACAATACAAAAATTATAAAATTTATTTCCAAATTAAATAGAACCAAGAATCAAAATACTAACGACAAAGACTAAATTTATACTAAGTAAAATTTAAAGTTATAAAAAAAAACAATAGTATCTAATATTAAATAAATGTTAAAACAACAAGTCATACAATACATATCATGGATAATAAATGAACGAAGAATCTGTAATCTGTGAAGGACCATACCGGGTATTCAGTCACCACTGGTGAATCATCATTCAAAATGAAACAATGGATAAGGTTTTAAAATAAATTGAAATGTAATAATCCAGAGAAAGGAAAACAGCCTTAATATGGATTTTGGGTAAACAGTAATTGATAGATACTTTACACACTCACAAACATTGCTTATTTTCCTTTAACCAACAATGTACTATTCTATTCTCAATACTCAGTTCATACAGGAAAACTTTGGTAAATGCAAGGGTTATTGAAACAATACAAGGGAGGAGAACTGTAATACAGTAAAACATAACCATTCAGATCATTGATATAGAACTACATACAATAGATATTTTATAAAAAAAAAAAAGTGGCAGAAAAATAATTGAAATTTAAAATACTGATGTTTCATAATTTCAATTATTAAAAGATAGTTTTGAACTCTTGATTAGCAATGTATAAATTCATTATTTGCAACAATAATTATTACTACACATACATGGTACAACATAAATGATGTCCGAAACTTAAGGAAATAATAGTAGACCACAAATGCTACAGAAAATTTGGACTATGATCTAATTAGAAACAGGGAAGGACAATTTATTTATTTTTTTATGATTGACTATGCTTGAAATTTTCTAATTAGATTCCTAACCAGAGAAAGAGAAAAAAGCCTTAATATGGATTTTGGGTAAACAGTAATTGATAGATACTTTGCACACTCACAAACATTGCTTATTTTTCTTTAACCAACAATGTACAATTCTCAATACTCAGTTCATCCAGGAAAACTTTGGTAAATGCAAGGGTTATTGAAACAATACAAGGGAGGAGAACTGTATACAGTAAAACACAACCATTCAGATCATTGATATAGAACTACATACAATAGATATTTTATAAAAAAAAAAAGTGGCAGACAAATAATTGAAATTTAAAATACTGATCTTTCATAATTTCAATTATTAAAAGATAGTTTTGAACTCTTGATTAGCAATTTATAAATTCACTTAAAACTGCTATAGGTAAAAATAATTTATTGTTTCAGGAATATTAAAATTTATTGGCAAAAATAGTTATTACTATACATACACGGTATAACATAAATGATGTCCGAAACTTAAGGAAGTAATAGCAGACCACAAATGCTACAGAAAATTTGGACTATGATCCAATTTGAAACAGAGAAGGACAATTTATTTATCTTTTTATGATTGCCTGCATTTGAAATTTTCTAATTAGATTCCTACCTGAAATTAAATAATCTTGTGCTGACACTAGTTACTGTAAATAAACTGTCTATTTTAATAAATAAAAACGTGATAATTGACCTGGGATTTTTTACTGTTTAATCAATGAATCACGGTTGCAACATACATTATCATGTATATGTCTGCCAGATATAATAAAATATATCAAACAATCGGGCTTTAATTAAAGGAATAGTAAGGACAATACAAATTAAATCAAATATTTTCTTCTGTTAATATGGGTATTAATAAAAGTTATTTATGTTTTCCTGTACACAATTATTTTGGATTTTTACACAACAAACATCCAACAAACGCAAAATGGCTTTGAACTCACTGACAACTTTTGTTGGTAGAGAGAAGAGCCTAAGACGGCTTGGAGGCTTCACTTCATCAGCTATAAATTTCAATATAAAATTAGGCTAAGAGAAGAAACATATAAAAAACAAGTACCATTATTTGGAGACATAAGAAAATTTAAATTTGGATTTATCAAATTATAAATCTAGGTTTATAAATTTTTCTTCAATATTTGTCTAATAAAATTGCTGATTACATACTTTACTAACTTTGAAAAAGTAGAAATGGTTGATTTAAATTTTAATTCATAACTGCTAAAATTAAAATTATTGAATGTATATATATGTATATGAGGTAAAATTTAAAAAAAATAAGGGGAGAAAGAGGAAAGAAGGCAGAACTGAAAAAAACGACGTATACATTAACAATTTCGTACATGCTAAGATCGCAGGGAAATAAAAACCACTAATCAAACTAACAGAGCATTTTAAGTTAAAGTTTTGATAGTTATTCATAGGGTTTATAAAATAATAAGTGATTTAAAATAATAAATACAACTATCCAAAAGAAATATCAACATAAAATGGAAAATGTGGAGATGCTCGAGATCAATAAAAAAGGTATATTTCTAGAAAATGCAATGTAACATTACAGGTGGGAACTAGAATCTCCAAAATTTACAAACAAATATTTCTTTAAAAACACATTTTCATGGAGTGGAATGTTAAAAATACAAAAATAAAATATTTTCAATAAAACTTCAATAGTATTTTTCCTAATAAAAGCCAGGGGATACTCCCTGTCTGCCTTACAGAGAACCAACTCCCATTTTAGAAATTATACAACTGTTCATTTAATTGAACTACTCATTGCTCAAATGTTATAACTGTGATTTACATGTATTCTATAGTTCAGATTCTATTGTTTTTTATCAACAAAAAATAAACGGAACGAAACAACAGTTCAGACAAATTTTTAATTTCTTTTAAAATCTATATTACATATCACGCCTTATTGCCAGTTTATATTATTAAATAATATAATTTGAATTCTTAATAATTAATATAATAAATTATAATTATTCTTAATGGCAGTTTGTAACCATAATAAGGTAGAAATAATTCAGGGAATAAGAAGTGTGGTGTCTTACTGGGGGGCCGTCTCCCTCTGTATATGTAAAATAAAATATTATATGGTCACTAAAAACTTTTTTTACATAATAGAGACATATAATTATAAGTAATTTCCATTATCTGATGTATTCCTTATGAAAATACTGAATAAAAATAGTATGCTGTAATTGAAAAATTATAATGATCATACACATATTTAATGATAAATAAACTTATTTAATACAAGAAAGCAAAAAAAAGAGCACATGTCAAATATTGAAAATATTATTTTCTTTAAAACCAATAAATTTTAAATTATGTAGAATAATAAAAAATAACAGGGTAATAAATTTTAAGGGCAACAACTGTAAACCTAAGTTATAGGTAAGGATAATCTACTGGAGTCAATTGGTAGGTGGTACACGTGGGCATGTTGAGGTAAATCCACTCACTAATAATAATCTTAGTCGGAAGAGAGAGATGTCGCTGCCTATCCGTTGGGATTGGAGTTTCTGATATACTATCCAATCTTTCCCTCGGCTTTATTTGGTCTCCTGAAGTTAATAACAGAAAGTTCCACTACCAAAACTCTTTATAATGAAATCAACAACCATCTTAAGTTTTTTTTTTTATTTTGTGTTCTAAAATGAACAAGATGGATATAGAAACTCAATCAATGAAGAAATTTACCATTATGCAATCATTCGTATCAAAAGGAATGAAAGTCTTAATTATACAAGTAAGAACTTAACAAACCTGGGGTTTTGAGATGGATGAGAGGAGGATGACGGGTATCAGCACTTCCTTCAAGGGACATTGATCTTGTCCTCTCCAGGTTGGACGGTAAGTCAGAGATACGAAGGGACAGCTGTCTTTTGAAAGGAGAAGTCTGATTCAAGTGGTTGAAACCTCTGAAAGAGCCCTGACGAACCAACATAGAGACTGTAGCGTGAGGCCTTTCGATGGCATGTGTAGTGACTGCTGGCTTTGGTGTTACCGTTGTTACGGTATTTGTCTTTGTTGGAATTGGAGGAGCATCAGTTGCTGCAAAGATAAGTAAATAACATTAAAATTATTTTACAAAAAAAGAGGAGTATTTTTTAATCTAATAATTATATTAAACATTTATTTTAATATACTGAATATTTAGTCCTAATGTTCAATACCATGAAAAAAAAAAATGAAAATTTTCAACAACAAAAATTATGGACAATAATTTAAAGTTCAGGATAAATAAGAAATTAGATGAGAATAACTCGAAAATATGGTACCAAATAGAATTGGTGACTATAATATAACAAACAAAAAGGCCAAAGAAAGACTAAATGCTCCTACAGTAATAATGAAGATAAGTTTCAGAGAAAAAAAATTTAAAAAAATGCGCACTGATTTAATAAACGCACTTAATTCTCAGCAATCAGCTAAGGGATAGAAATTTGTAAAAATTTATTGAAAACCCTTCCGATATGAGATTTTACCTGGAGATTGTCACCTGTGATGAAAAGTGAGTTTACTGGCTAAATCTGAATACCCACCCGTGAGCAATGGCTTGATGGATACCGTGATTAAACCAGTTGCTACAAGGGGACAATTTGAAAAAAAAAAAAAACCATGCTTTGCGTTTTTTTTTTTCATTTTGAAGGAGTTATCATGAATTTTTTGAAAAAGGATCATTCTTTTTTATACACCTTATTAAAATATTGGACAATAAGGACTGAGTTTTTACAAATGAAAAGTTTTAGTTTAGTTTCAATTAATCTAATAGGCAAGTTGTCCAGCTTATCAAGACTGAATTGTCCTGGAATATAGGAAGCTAATTTTTACATTCTCTCCATGGAAGAAGGCCTTTACTAATTAAACACAATTTAAATTTTCCTATTTTCTCATGAACGAAATGAGTTCATTTAATTAAATTTTGATGTAACGTAAACAAGAAAATTTATATCAACTCAATTTCACTAAAATACAGATTGAAATTCTTTCCTTATGAGACCATTCAAATATAAGGAAATTAAATTTATTAAATTTTACAAGACACTTTAATCAATAAATGAATAAAAATTAGTGTAGATCTGCTCACAAAACTTATAAAATTACAACTTAAAAACCTTCTGGGAAATTACACTCAATGAGATTCCCATTTTTTCTATTTTTTGAGAATTATACAGATTTTGTTGTTGCTAAGTTTAATAATGTTTAATTAATTTGAAGTACTATGTACCACACAGATTAGAGGCATTATAGATCTATAAATTAATGGTCTTAAGAAAGTGTAAATGGATCACTTTGAAAAAGTGTGCCTAGATCATCAGCTAACAGATGAGCATTTACAGTTTATAGTAGATGTCTTTTTATACCTAAATAATAACACAGTAACAGATCAACATAATATTATAAAAAATAAGAAGCAATCATATTACTTGGAACAGTGATGTTATTTTTATTTGCATCCGCTATCCTCTCAGTAATGGTCTGCGTTCGGAAAGAACCTTGCCGAGTGAAAGTCGAACTTGTAGGATCAAAAGACATTGTAACTCCACATTCTTTTTCTCTTCTCTGTTTTCTTTCAAGGCAGGCTGCAAACGCACATCCCACAGCATGGCTCAACCTTTCTCCCTACAAAAATTTTTTTTTTAACATTTTAATGGAAGATGTTTACCAACAAGATCAGAAAATTATTTTAAAACCACACTATCTTACCTAAGGTAACCAGATTTTAACATTGGTAAAGCTGGACACCATTGACTGGGAGGGAGAGGTTCTTGTTTAAAATGTTGGTTCATTATGCCCAAATAATAGTTCAAATTAATTGATACAATAATTAATTTTACATAATGATAATCTGGAGTCGTGTGGCCAAGCGGGTTAACATGTATGCAAAACACACATTGTCCTGCAACCAGATGATTGATAAACCGAAATTTAAAAGATATAAAATGATTACAAGCTCTAATCACGGTTCCGGGTGACTTTAAACTCTGGTCCTTTAATTCCCCGCTCTCTCTCCTGGTCCAGGAAAATCCCCGTATAGTCTTAAAGGAGAGGAAAAAAAAAATGATAATTTGGTTCAAATATTAATAAGATGACAGACATAGTATTCAGCTGAAAAAAAGCTTGAGAATTTATAGTTGATAAATAATCAGAAAGCAATAATTTTTATTGTTTCCTACTTTTCAACCTAAGCATGCGGGTCATCATCAGGGCATGTGCCCAGTCGTGAAAGTGTTTAAATACTCAAACACCTTCAGTACTGGAGACATACCCTGACGATGACCCACATGCTTGGGATGAAACGAAGGAACAATAATTATAAATCTTAAAATGACTGCTTCCTGATTATTTATCACCTATGATATATAGAACAGTCGACTAACTTCCTTTAAAAGTTGAGAATTTAGTTCGAAAGGTGTGAGAGCAAATATTTGATGATGTATTTGACACCTAATTTATGACTTCAATAATAACACAGTTTTTAAGACAAATGTAATGTGCCAGCAGTAATTATTAAAGATTAATATTCTAAAATTAACAAAAATAATATAGAATTCATATTCTGGCAAAATAGCTACATGGCTGCCGAAAACCGTATATTCTCTTCCCGTTCTCCTGCCCTTATCTAGCCTGACATGTACTCTTTTCGAAAATCAGGACTTCTTGAAAAGGATGCGGAACAAATTGTTACAAATCGGGACTGTCCTGCCAAAAGTAGGATGTCTGGTCACCTTAATTTTATATTATCTTATTTATTTTAATCACTTATTATTTCTGAGCCCATAACAATAAGGAGATGGCAGATAATTTAAAATAAACAACTGTTCTCCATCAACACAGTATATAAAATAAGTTTTAAAAAGACTTAATCTAGTGATACTATAAAGAATCATAATGTATATGAATTAGATACACATATTTCATAATTAAAATAAAATATTAATTTTTAAATAGAAAAATGTTTATTTGATTAAAAATTGTATAGACTATTTACAATTGAAGGTCTTTTGGGTTGAATGTAATTTCGGATGTTCAAAATAAGAAAAACATAATAGTTAAATGAATTTATAAAATCTAATTAAATGTGTAGCTATAACAAATAATACATACATTGGAACTTACAGATTCTTTTAATGCAATAAAACCATGACACATCCATCGCCGAGTTGTTCCATCTCTACAAATATATGAGAAACCCTTTTCATGATTCCTATCAGGTGCACAAAACGATACTTTTTCTATTGTTTGATCGACAATCAACCCCTGAAAAGATAGAAAGTTTTGATTAAAAAAAATAAACAACATAATTAAGAATTATTTATAACTATAAGATTTAGCCGATTTACTACATGAGTATCCACAGGTATATTTGATACTTACTTTTGTTTCATCTTCAACGACCCTTAAACCATCACCCGAAACAAAAAGAACAGCCTTAACAGGTCTTCGCCTAGAGTTCTGAAAGGAAAAAAAATCATGATTTAAAACTAATATTCATTTATACATAGGTAATTGAAATTGATTGTTATTAAATAATTCTACTCACCCTTAAAACCTTTAGGGCTTCTTCACAAACCTGCATTCCTCGAGATTCAAAAACTTCAACACAGCCTAAATACTAAAAAAAAAAAGAAAATTTTAAAAACTATAATAATAATTTGTAATAATTTATTTACTGATTCAGGTAAGTTAATCTTATAATTTATCTTTAATATAAAACAAATATGTAAGAAATGTATTGGGAAGCTTACCTTGACTTGGAAAGTGCAGGTACCAGCTCTAACAGCAGCCTCATCAGCTTGCCAAAGATGTGGCTTTGAGCTTTCGGGTACATGATCCTTCCGTCTTCTAAATGAATCACGGAAACTCCTTCGTAACCTGTCCATCCTCTTTGGAGAGCCCCGTTTCTCTCCCTGGAATACATATTGAAAAAATAAATTAACAACAGAATTTCAAAAAAGTATTTTTAGCTATCCATAACAATTTTATTAATCATTAAGTTTATGTAAACAATAGTTATTTTTTAAATAAATAATTAACTTAATTATTTAAAACCATGGAATAAATATTATAAACATTAAGTTTTATCTTGTTGAAGGAAGGCCTATTAGCTGTTATCGATGTAAAACTGCATAGAATGAATGGGTAATTTATCTAGGATACAAATGAATTAATGTGAAGAAAAATTATATATTTATTACAATTACAATCTCATTCTGAAATTTTTTTATCAACAGAAAAATAAACCTAAAGTTTAATGATGATTATGGATTTTAAATACATTTACCCAAATGTTCATATAAATCTCCAGAGGCATATAAAAAGCTAATGAGGTCCGTCTTCACCTATTCATCTGAGTGCTGGACAAAGACAAAAGCACTAGAGTTTTCTCAATTGAGATCCAAAAGAAAGATTTTGAGAAGAATTATGGGACCTATGTGCACCAACAGTGGATAGAGATAGAGGAAAAATGTTGAGCTCATGAATCTCTACTATGACCTAGATATTGTCTGTTGAATAAAGGCTGGACATCTAAGATGGGCAGGGCATGTTGCATGCATCAGTAATAATGAAGTCCTTAAATTGCTCCTAGAAGAAAATATATTCGGACCTAGATGAGTTGGAAGATTTTGCTTGCATTGGATGGATTGCATAAGGGTAAATGCTCAGAAGCTATTGGGAATAAGAAATTGGAAGGCATAGCACAGAATAGAGTAGACTGGTGTTTCTGACTGAGGGATATCTTGACTCTCCAATGAGTTGTAGAGTTATGGAAGAAGAAGAAGAAATGTTTATATAAAATAATAAAAACAGCTAAATGCTTTTGAAAATGGGTGGCGAACCCAAAAGGCTAAGCAAATAAGTAATATGAAGGCCCTTTACTCATACTTCTTATGTTCCTTTACAATAAACAATAATTTTGAAAGTGACTGGGTTTGGTATATAATTGATGATCCTTTATTATTTTTTTTCTTGTACAAAAAAAATTGTTTTCTTTCTTGATGAAATTGCTATTCACTGCTGAAATCCCCACTCTCTTAGCTTACTATGATTCTGCACATAAAGGACAGAACAGCCAATCACATTGGTTTTTGAATTGGGGTCCAATTTTAATATTCGCTTTACATCCCTTAATCATTGGGTTTTATTTAAGTAAATAATTTAATAAAAATCCTACATGTTCAGGAATTTATGAATTTGTTATTATTTACATAGTTATATGTTATTATTATTTTTAACACAATTCATCATTAAAATAAAGACATAAAATTCATAGAGTTGGTTTGATAGATTTGAAATTTTAAGGTCCATGAATTATGGCATTGCTTTTTTATCTTAAACTTAAGTTGAATTATCACTTATTGATGAGGTTTACTTTATAAAACTAGTCAATTTCACATAAATAAAGGGAACGTTTTAGTTATTAACGTATACTTAAGGATGCCAAACTTGTGGATTTTTTTTAAAATGAGCACTGAAGTTTGATTTGCCTCTTTCTAGGTTTGGTTATTATTTTCAAATTGGCTGTAAAAAAGTATACTTAGCATAATGAAGGACTTCAGTTCGACAATTTTGTTATTTTTAAAAATGTTTTCGAACAACTAGAAATAACCAAGCTTTGTTAATTATAAAAATAATTAAAGAATCACAATTCCTTAATTTTTTTAATCCAAAATTCTTAACAAGAGTCAGAATTATAACATCTAAAATTATTTTTAAAAAATGTTTGAATGAAAAAAAACTCTAGGTACTATTAATAATGAGCTAATTTGATGACAAAGTTCAAAAGCCTTGAGATATTAGTAAAGGGTTTGATTTAAATTTTGATCAAAACTAAATAACATAAATACCATTCATTACTTTGGAATGAGGAATGGGGACATCTTTGCTGAACTTTTGACAGTAAATTTTTTTATGAAGTTATTATCATGAGGATTTCTTTTTTTAAGGAATTTAAAATTTAAATATAACTAATTTAGTTAATAACCTTAAAAAAATATTAATGTTCTGATATCTTTTAAAACTTTAACCCCAATTAATTTACCAGCCAATGAATTTTTGTTATTTAAACTGCACTTTTTTTACTCACCTTGGTAAGGTAAAACATTATTAAAACTATTTACAGAAAAATATTAAAACTATTGTTTTAAAACTTCATTAAAAATTTAACCTAAATGTCCATTTTTAACACATGGCGATTTGAATATATGGAATTTTTGTATGTATAAATGAACTAAATTTATATTTAAATGTATAATAAGTAAAAATCTTAATGATATAGAACAATATCTCAGTAAAGAATATAACCTTCTGTTATTACATTAAGAATCAGCTTACAAATCAAAATGTAAGAAAAAAAATTCAAGATGGTTTATTTGAGAATGTTTGAGTGAAAAGAGGAAGCCTATTGATTTATAAGTGAATTTTTAAATCAATTTCTTAACCTAAATTGTATTAGAAAAAAATTAACATGGAAAAAAATTTAAACCAGGAAAATTCTTTCTTTTTTTGAATAATTGACGAACATTCACTAATGCATAATTTTCAGAAGCTCATATAACATTTGCAGAATCCACCAGTCTCAAATTATTAATGTGTGAAGGAAGGAGGCAAGATGCATCATTATTCTGGATCATATAGGATCATACACTAGCCTAGAGGGTAAAATTTAGAGGGTGGTGAATTTCGGGTGAAATTTTATGTTTAGGTAAAGTAACAAACGTCTTAAACTCGGTTTATCAATGTATAATTGAGTAATCTATAGCACGGGCGGATCTACGGGGGGGGGGGGGCTTTCGGGCTGAAGCCCCCCCAAAATGGTAAAATATAACTATGTTTTATGGGAAAATATATTAAAAAATTATCTCTTAAAGTATTATTATTGGTGTAATTACATTTAAAAGGACTTAAGGAATCACTTTTCAAATAGATAGCTAGTTTCTTTCTTTTTTTCCAAGGTAATTATCGCCATTTTTATGAAAAAAAAAGCTTTCGGGCTGAAGCCCCCCCCCAAAATTGAATCCTGGATCCGCTAGTGATCTATAGTATCATTTAGGTCTCAGCCCTATTGATGTCGCTTAACAGGGCTTAAATGTCCAAAATGCCTTCCTCTAAAGAAGCTTTAATTTGGTTTATTTTAAATAATTAACTATATCTCATTGTAGACTTTTATTGGAGGGGGGGGGGGGGGTAGCTAATTCAAAATTATGCTTGACTTAGCTAGTAAAAATCAAGTTACGATTCCCACAAAACCGTATAAATTCGGCAATGCCACATAATTATTATTAAAAAATAAATTATTGACAATCACGGCATCAATTTTGTTAAGTTTACATGAGACCTTTGACCTAAACCATTTCGGCCATCTGCAGTGATATAAAATAGATAAGAGAAATAGGTAAAACCGGTAGAAAAAAACAAACTAAAAGAATATTTTTAGTTAATTTAGGTTTTAAAGAACAGAAAACCCAAATGGTTATCGTCGCCCATTTTCTTTGATTTGGAACTGCATTAATTATTCTGTACCTGGCTGTAGAATCTTATCTCATTTGTGAAGTCAATAATTTAGGGGAGAATAATTTAAAAAAAATATTATAAAAGAATGGACTAATACAAAATATTTCAGTAAATAACTGTTAAATAAAATATTTATAATGAGAAGTTTATGTAAGGTGGTATATTTTCATATTTGTGAAGAGAGAGTGAGTTTAGAGCTACCGATGGTCGGCGCTTACGAGATTACACGCCCTAGTTGTTCCCTTCAATAGAATGGCGAATTCGAACCCATCAATCTCCCCACTTGTGAAAAATACATTTAAAAAAGGACACAAGAGAACCATTACACATGCTAATGGGAGTTCAATAATCCAAGACAATTAAAAAGTCCAAATAGTTTCGAAGGTAATATTTAAATTTTTAACAATAGGTAATTGAATACATAAAATGAATTTAAAAGCACTAGACAATTTAAATTAGATTGATATGAAACAAAAAAATCGCGATATCTCTACTAATAATGCTTTGATTTCAATGAAACTCCCTTCATTTTTTAGGAAATTTAAATACCTTTGAAACATCTTATCACAATATTGACAAAAAAGTGTATACTTTGAGTTATTCGAAATTTAATTTTAAGATCCCTCATAAAAATATTTTAAAATCGCGATATCTCCACTAATAGTGCTTTGATTTCGATGAAACTTCCTTCATTTTTTAGGAAATTTAAATACCTTTGAAACATCTTATCACAATATTCACAAAAAATGTGTATACTTTTTGAGTTATTCGGAATTTAATTTTATCATCCTTCGTAACTTGTTTTCCAGCATCTTTTCGTTGAAGTATGTTATACAGGTAAATTTAAAGGGCGTCGAGAAAATGACTTCAGCGAAGTTTCATTGAAATCGGTAAATTCGTTTAGGCGCTACAGTCTATAGCAACGCATTTTTCTTCGCCCGGCATTTTGAAAATAAAAGGTGGATAATAGTAATGTCGATGAAGGAGGATCATGCTCGAGTGAACTCTGATTTTATATCCAAATTTGAAAAAAATCGGTCCAGTAGTTTCGGAGAAAATGCGAGGACAGCGGATGGACAAAAAAAAAATATTCGTTTTTCGAATTCTACGTATCCTGAAACGTAAAACTTCAAATTTTGAGAGGAGGTTACGTTTTGAATTTGTTGGTCTATCACAATGGTTCATTATTGAAAATAATAAACCAAAATATCTGTTTATAAGGCAATTATCTAATGATGTCACACTTTAATACAATTTATGCTACTAAAATTATTAAATTTTTTAAAAATTACATTGAATTTCAATCCAAAGTTATTAAAAATTAACTTCAGTTACTTATTTAAGGACAGGACTGGCGGAAATCATTACAGGGGGCCTCCTCGTGGGTTGTTGCGCC